GTACAGAACTGAACTTGAACATGTATGTCAGAATCATAGACTGTATATATTAACGGACATAGTCACGCCTATCTCCGCCGTTCTAACTAATGGGCCGTTCTAAGTGGTCCCGCCCAAAAGAAAATTGTGACGCATCTGCGCATGCGTTAGCTGGCGCAGCTCCATTCATTTGAATGAGACTTAAAAAATTCACAGTGAGTAAACTAGAGTGGTCCAAAAAAATTCACCCCCCTCAGCATTGACACACATGTGGAACGGAGCTTTGGGCCAAGAGCCAACTTTTGGTCCATCCTGTAAAGACGTTTTTGAGAGGTCTGCCAATGCTATATGTTAGCATTGGCTAATTCTACTTCTGGGTCCACCTCCATCGGCCCGGGGTGGTATTGCAAGCATGTCAGCGCACGTCATTATGGCAACTTTTGAGCTGGGACCCGCCCCCACTGGTCAGAATGTAGAAGGACCATGTTTGTCAAGCAAGAAGCATCTGTCTGCAATCTATAAAATGTGTTTGCCATGTCTGATCCTTGTGTTAAATCATGAAAATGCAGATAATAGTGTTGTCATCCGTGATATATCTCCAGCTTCAGAGAAAGACTCAAGACATGGCATGGCAATATTACATTCATGTGTTTAAAAGAATACATCAATTACACATGTTTTTTGCCATTGTATTATTTCAATTGGTATAAAGTATCAAGGGTCAAAGTACTGGGTGCTCTGTCAACCTTAATGCACCAGGACCTGTGACCAGGACCAGCGTCTGTCATCAGTGGAGACAGTTCTTTGCTCGTTCACACGTGTCTGTCTTCTGCTGTTCAAAAAAAACGCACTTCTCACTCTTGAGCGTTATTTTTTTAATCACCACAGTGCATCAGTCGAGCTTCCATCTAGAAAGGGCAGCTAGATGCCAGGCTTACCACCTAATCCATCAGCAGCCTGTCTGTCAGCCCCAGTCCTGCTGCGCACGTGTCACTCATGTCGTGTGCCGCCAGGAAACATCAGGAGCAGGGCCCACATCAGCGTCCAAAGCTCCTCGTGTGGAGTCCAGGAGGCTGAGAGCTCTTGGCAGTCCGCCGCTCGTGACGATTACTGCATCGGCTTATTGTTGGATGAATCATTACTGGACCAATATATAGAGCTGTAACCGGCCAAAGAAATTCTTGGTTGACTTAAGAAATGCCAAGACGATCCCATTAGTCGAGTGAATAAGGGCCGTGGCAAAATCTCTCAAAACATCACGTTTTCTGTGTCAGACCTGAACTGTACTCTCAAAAAATTGCGATAAATAAAGTATTGATAAGACTTGTAAATGGAGTGTATAATCTGGTAAGTACATACAAAAAATGTCCGTCTTATGATTGTTGCTGTTCTGCCATTGAAATCCTTGTGATTGACATAAAACTACTGTGATGCTTATTAAGTGTGTGTATATTTTCTGTCAAACCGCTTGCCACTTACAGTAACAAAAATAAAAATGAGGAAATAGAATGTTTTAGCACATGACCTGCAGGCCTTTGCAGGAGTGTGTTGAATAGTGTTGAATAGTGTACATGTACAGTGCAAGTATTAATTCATGCAGTATGAATATTTGTGCATGACCAAATTTTCTGTTTCTTTATGTTTTGTAGGTGATATAGTGTTGATGAAAGTATTAGTTTTGATCTAGAATAAGATTTAACAACCAGTAATTTAACAACAGCAACAATAACTCTCACAAATCAGTGCTGCTCTTGTTGCAACACAAACCGCAAACTCCATCAGTAAAGCCTTGAATCTTCATAGGATCATAAATGGAGTTGGGGGCTGGGTGTCAGCGATCGTGTCTGCATAATTCATGAGTTCACTCTTGTGACTGCAGCACACACATCTGTCAACAGTTTCCGCGCCATCTATATGAGTCTTCAATTATTTAGACTTTCTCCCGAACCATGTGGAGGCTTTACGCTGACAAATAGCTTCACAATGACCACTTCTAAAGGGATTTCGTGCTACACGCAAATAAGCTCTAAGGAGGAAGTGAATAACAGGTGTAGGTTTCACAACATGCGTCTCATGACCAGGTGAATTACATAATACACCAGGTGATTTGGATGTGTAGGGTTAGTGCATCTTTCCTTTTATAATAACAACTGTTGCTACATATAGTTATAGAGATGTGTCAAATGTTAAGGCTGTCTACTGAAAAAACGGACACAATGCTAACATAACAATTAAATAACACTTGATACTTAATACCAAATTTGATATATTTTTGGACATGAGCTGTTTTGTTTTTTTACATAAATAATACAACAGCAACATTATCATCTTTTTATAGTACCGCAAGGTTTTATATTAGTTCTGACATATCACTCAAATTTCTGATAAATGTCATATTTGGTCCCGTTTGTGATTCTTGACGTTATTGACAACCATATTTCCTAGCCCTTCCTCATTGTATTCATTTTTTCCCCAGAATGATAGAGGCCTATAATGGGAGCTTCTATATGCCTAACATATTCCCTCTGTTTACTTATGATCACTCCGATTTCCCCCATCAATCTAAAACATTAGGCACATTAGACCAATCCTCGGGTAATCCTGACTAAGATCCTGGCTCAGAACCTGCAGGAGCATCCCAGAGCTGTCCAGTGTGGGCGGCCACTGCTCTTGACAGGTGTCCAAGAAGCACTGGTAGAAGGACAGGTCAAAAGCAGAGGACAAATCCTCCCAGACACGGGAATCAACTTAATGCAATCAGAATCCACCCAGTGAACTCAAAGATCATTTCACTCTAATGACAGGAAGTAAAATATTGCAAGTCATGTGGTGTTAAAGCTGCAGATTGATTATGAAAAGAATAAGGTTCAACTTATTATGTATAGCAGTGACGATGGTAGACTAGTGTATTGTATTGACAACATCTTAAACTCAACTATAGAGATGCAATATTATACTAAAGAAAATTAATGAATGGAAATGGGACGTTTTTAACATCCATAATACACAATTAATATATTTATCGCTCTTGTAGCAAAGTAACAGAATTGTTACATGAGCTCTTTCATCCAGGACACTTCTTATACCTGGACCTGGCTTAACACAAAACATTTATCTTTTTCTTTTGTTCATTTCTGTTATTGATTTTAATGATCCTGTAACTCGTATAAACTCCCAGGGCTCCATCTTTTGTCTGTTTCACAAAAGATTTCTGAAAACACAAAAGGGTAAACTATCTAGACGCCTTCTGTCACCAGACGTAAAAACCTCCGCGTACAATAGAACACAATTGATACTTGAAGAATAGCAATTAACTATTCAAATAATTATATCTGCAACCACAATAAACTCACACACCGCAACCCGAACAAAAAACCTCACATTTATCCACAAATCCCATTGGACACATCCAAAATAAATTTACTGTGCCACTATTTCACTTGAACAAAAATGAAACTGAACCTACTGCAGTCACCGCCGGGTCGTAAATATCAGGAGCACACAGAGCAATTCACACAGGTCTGGCTCATGTTTGAAAGGTCAGGGCCAAACCAGCCATAAAACACTGATTTTTAAGAATTAAGACGTTTCTCTGCTTCCTGCTATCTACATTGTGCACCTGCAGCGTGTGACATGTATATAATCATGAAGAAAGTAAGATGCTACAAGCCCAAAAGAAAGGCGTATTGTGAAATGTATTTGCAATGGATGTTGTCTTCAGTTGTTTAGTTTGGGGGAAAAATGCATTCGTCAAAAAATTGTAGCCAAATTAATAGGATTTCTATGACAAGAATCAGAAGCCATGGAGCCAAGTTGCTTAAGATTTTGGTATTTACTTTGAAATTCAAATTTAAATCACAGTCCTTATTCCAATAGTTTATAATAGTGATTTTTGTGAGTGTGATGATGCTGCAAGAACAGTGAGACACATAATACAAGGTTTGTGAGATTTCCTTTTGTGGATTACAGCCCTACTATTTGCCAGTCTGCATGCATGCTGTGGAAAGTTGCTGGTACTGAGTGGAACAGTTTTCCACAATGATACAACAATGGTGCTATTATTACTCCCAGGCAACTAACTCGATGTCTGACACATGGGCAAGCAACAACCTGATAATCCAGTTCAGTTTTGTTTAGACTTTCTGTTTGGGTATGGAGCGGGCAATGATGTGCAAACAGGATAAAACATGTCATGATGTTGTGCATAGATCATCATTTCACACTGTATCAAAACCCGTCTCTAACAGACAGCTGCAGATTTGGCTAAGATTTCGAAGATGACATGTACGGACACAGAATTATATATATTATATTACTAACCCTCTTGCATTTCCTCAACCATAGATCACCTTTTCGGTCACTATCTACTTGAAGCATGCTTGGAACTGACGTCTACCTCTTTGGGGCATCTCACTTGGTTTTAGGCACTTCTATCATCAAACTGAATCTCAACCAATTGGAAAAGGCCTATAATTAAAACAAACTAGGAGTTAAAAAAAGAAAACATATAAGCAATTTATGTGTTATTACTGTTCCCACGTCTTAAAAAGAAAAAAATTACATCACTTTCTTTAAGGAGTGAACATTAAAAGGGTTAAAGTTGTATTTTTGAATAGTCATGACAGAATAGGCGGGGATAGGAGGTTAAAATGGAACAAAAAAATCCATCACAGTCACTGCCAGGCAATACAGCATTACTCAACCATGCATAAATCAATGCTCATAGGCTAATAACAAAGTATCACTATGATAGGAGAGATTGCATGTGCTTGTCATTTGCAGGAGTACGACTTGGTGTTTGCCTTTACGCATGGACAAATTAAGTCAGTTCCTAGACAGCCTCCTCGATGCGACCCCTGCATGGGATCTCCTGACCTAGTACCCGTGCAATTGCAACTTATCTAGTCCAGGCCACCACCCCCCCAAAGCATTTCTTCCTTCCTTCCTCCAGGCAAAGCAAAGCAAAGCCAACGTGGCAATGAAACAAACCAGGTCTGACTTTTGTCACATCTTTACGTTACCTTCAGAGCGCGTCCGCAGATCTGACATGGTCCTCTTCACGGGCGGCATCTTCTGCTGCTTGTGTGTGTCTCTCTTTCTCAGACACACAAACACAGAGAGACACAACACCTGCAAAAACGGTAGCGAATGCGCTTTCCCCCCACTGCAGGCTGGTGCCTCCTCACGCCGTGGAAGATCGGAGTACCGGACAGGGGAACTAACACCACCACCGCCACCAACACCGGATAATGCAGTCAAGACACTCCTTCTCTCTCATGCGGACCCCAGAGCAGATTGATCACCGCTTCCAAAAAAAAAAAAAAATTATGTGAAGTCTGTGTGTATGATGGGGGGGATTAAAGGTTTCATGTCGTGAGAAGAGCATGCTCACAGTTCAGGGGTTCCACAGCATCCCCCCCGACAGCCAGTGCGCACGCAGACAGTAGGAGCGCATTAGCAAAGGGTCTGTGTGGAGGGGAGCCGCGGATTCATGCTGGACCGTACCAAGTCCACGCACAATGAGGGGGGGAGGCCAGACGTGAAGCGGGTATCAACTCCTAAAAAAAGTGACCAGGTAAGACGAATGATGCAGTTCGTGAACGGGAGCAGTGCGTGGCGTGCTTAGTTTATCTGTACGTGCGTGTTTTTCCACCGACGTCGAGTTTGTGTGTAATGTTTTTATCGATGTTATGGTTTGGGCGCCTCCCCCTTTGCAGCAGACTTCCTTCGCGATTGCACAAAAAAACAAAATTGGGTGGGAGTAGTATAATGACAGAGTTTTGTACAGTGGACCTTTGTTTGGGAAACTATTGCAGATTGTAGCGCGATGGTAGTAAAAGGGAGATGTCATGAAATTGGTTCAGGATATTGGAAAACTGGAGGCTGGTTAAAGCTGTCGTTTAAAGCTGGGGTACCCAACTTTCAAAACACTAAAAATGGAACCGTGTATTAAAGTCAATCTAACGAGCTCCTCCCTTTCTCCTTACTACATGCATGTATTGTATGGCCTCTATCACGCGTTTAGATAAACAAACAAAATGGGCCAAGAGACAATTAGCTTTCAGCCCACATCATGTAATAGTGACTGACATGGTTTTTTGTTGGAAGTATGCAAACAATAAAATATTTCTAATAAGATGACGACAGCATGCTGCAATCTGATTTGTTCACAAAACTGTAGTCTTGTTAAAATTAGCCATCAAGATGCTACAATTTGTATATGTTTTTATATATCAATTGTGTTTGGTATGTTCTGTACTGTTATAGACAGTAAGAGATTGGACTCAACCATTGGAGACAAGCAGCACTGGGCTAACTACAGATCATATCAGGTGATTTTGGGAACTAAATGGGATTAGAATTATATGGTTACACAGATGTTGTATAGTTGATTGTATAATTGATGAATTAGATAATACAAGCCCACTGACAATGTCTCTCTATAAGCTTATTAATAGAAACCACTGTTAAGCTTCTGCTGCAGGCTAAAACAAAACCTCACTGACTCTTTATTCACATGTTAAATCATGATCTAGTCCTAAACACAAGCAGCTTTTCTTTTGCCTTCAAACTGTTATTATTATTCATAAGACTGCTCTCTATGTGTCTGTATTGACAGTTTTCCTGGTGTAAGCAAAACTCTGATGAGAAAGTGTCAGGGTTAGACGCAAGAGACATGAAATTCCATAAAAGGCTTTTTTATATATAGCTTATAGGATTATTCATGGAGAAACATTGATTCAAGACAATTTAGTTGTATTGTCTTTGCGCAATAAAACCATATATGTTTGTGGGAGCTCTGCACAATGATAAACAATTCATGCCTGATCACATTCCCATTGGTTACAGGAAATATGTTACTGAATCCTAAATAAAAGGTTTTTAAAAATTGGTCAGAAATATTTATAGACATGTACAAAAATACACATCAAGAAGATGTTTAGATGGTTGAGACATGTTCTAGATCTGAATCAGAATCATTTGTATTGCCATTGTGAGTAACAGAAGTCAAATATTAGTAATTTGGTTTGGTAAATAAGACCCCATGTCATGCTCAAACATGATTTAACTCTTGGACCAGTAGAAGTCTGATGTAAACAGCAGGATGATCCTTTGTGAGAGCTCTGCTTCTCACTGCGGCTCATCATGATGTTATTTGTGCAGCAGCAGCACCACTGCAGTCTCCACAGAGAACTGCAGGCATCCAGGACCCTGCATGTGTGGCACTGGCCCCCTCTCATGTATTTATTATAGTGTGGAGAGGAATTCATCACACAGACATGTTTCTCCCTGTGAGCTATGAATAAAAAGGAGACCAGTGGTGCAAAAGTTGTGTTATTTATTATATCTCACAGAGCACTCGTCAAAATGCATTTTCCGGAAAAATTAGATTTGCAATGAATCATACACACCTGACCACACAGCTCCCTTCTTCCCTCTTCCTCTAATTCAGCATCACATCAGCTGCACCGCGGCTGCAGAGATTTAGCTCAGGAGCTCCGGCGTTGCTTAGCAACAGGGAAAAGAAGCAGTCTCTCTGCACCCTGTTTTTGTGGTTTCAGATTGTCTGTCTAAACAATGACACATTGATAAAACTGGAATGCTTCAACCACAACTTCAATCTGTGCCAACATGATTATTCAATGATTTTCTTTTTATCTTTGAGGCCATAAAGATTGCAGTAGTTCTACAGCCTCAACGCACCTTTGTTCTTTGATGTGCTGAGAGCAGATGTGATGAGTTGAGCTTATACAAACACAAAGGCCTATAAACGTTTCAATTGAACAGTAAGCTACCTACTGTTATACACAAATTGTATTTAAACAGTCAAAAGTTACTATCAAATATATTGCATCCTGTTGAAAACATGGACATCATTAAAATATAATCGGATGAAGCTCAATATGAGAGAAGCCTTTAATTGTCCCACAGTGAGATGTCAGTGCTGCAGGCACATGTTTACAGGACAGTATGAGCAAGGAAGACATGAAACAAGATAAACAGCTGCAAATGCTCCTACAACACACAATATGAACAAAAATATACATGCTGGGGTTCAGACCAATGTTCACAGTGAGGCAGCTACTGTACATGTAGAAAGAAGGTAATGGGCACACATAAATAATAATAATAATAATAATAATGAAGTGACTATAATTTAATCCGTAAATGAACACCATATTGCACATTCTTACCTTGCATGTTATTGCAGTCTTTACCGACGCATATAGCAAAACATTTAAGATGATATATGAAAAGCAAAACATTCTACATTTCTCTTGATAAAAGACAAATGCATTCACCTCTGTAAAATATTCTCAAAACTATATATGACTTGAATCCTTGAAGCCAAACAATTGGGCAAATATCTTGAATGAGTCATACATCACCTGCCTGATTGGACTTGTACTCCTCCCATGATCCTTCTCTGCAATAGCCTCAGGTCCTGTGGGAGTAATTGGGCAGCATGTCAGCAGCAAGATGTAATTGAATCGAACCCCTTTGTGGATGCTGATCTTCCGTTCGAGACGTGGTGTTTATGGAAACCCCCTCGTGGCTTATCAGAGTGTAAATATTTCACACTCTTTTCCCTCAGTCCTTACTTAAGAAATGAAATGCAATCGCGATCAGATGTTATGATCTATGAAGCAGCAGCAAATTAAAGCCGTAAATCACGTTTGACACTTTCTCAATTACTGCTACACAGGCTGGCGGTGGAATATTAAACACTGTTAAGGAATTTATCTTAACGTTTTGTAATGGAGGGAGTTAAGACGGCGGATCAGCGCATGGGGCTGAATGATAGGGCTTGCAGGCTGAGCAGTTTGAGGTGCTGCAGAGGTCTCTTGTCTAAATGTGTGAGGAGGAGATAAAAGATTAGTTTAGCACTTGGCTGTTGACTAAAGTGACAGTGCAGCAGATTCACTTCCTCAATAATTTACTTTACCGACATTCGTGATCAGGTACTACTGGGTTTTACTCCCATTTTTGTTTAGATTTCACATAAAACAAATCTGGAATTAGGAAATATATAAATTAAGATGTGTGGTTCTAATGTATAGTCAAATCAAATATTCAGGGAGGAACCAGACCCTTTAATTCCAAACTCACAAGTACAAAAAGTTTTATTCATGTTTCTATTTCAAGTATATCTACATGGGATTTTACATTTGAAAAGTTGCTATACCCCAATTCTGGTTACTCTGCAGTCAAATAGATCAACCAGACACCATCGATCCCCTCATTATGTATATTTACTATTTAAAATAAGACTTTGGGGTTTGATATATCACGGTGCAGAGATTGTTCCCATCTACAATTAGAGTACATTAATAATCAGAGGCCAAAATTACAAGGCCTCAGCTTCACAAAAAGTCTTTCCCTGTATCTGTTTGAACACCAAAGGGTTCTCAGATGGATTTAGTTTGATTTTTTACAACATTTTGGAGCCTTTTTAGAGACGAATCTCAGCTTTCTTACTTTATTCGTTATAAAATAACAAAATAAAAAGCCTAAAACTTGAATTTAAAAGGAAATCAATTGTGTTGTGTTGACTCTGTGTGGTGGGAGCTGTGGTCAACCAATGTCAATTTTCTGTCTGTGAGAGTTACAAAAAACAGGAATCAGTTTTACATATTTCCACTTTTTTGTGGTTTGAAAATCATTTACCCAGCTATAATAAAGGTTACAGTGACAGGTTGATCCACAGTAAGATGTGAACTAGTATAGAGGCACTGTGTGAATATTGACTGGCACTTGGCCTACAATAAGGAAATGCAAAATGTTTGGTTCCAGGCCCCTAAAGCTTTAAGATAAGAATGTAACTTAGGACTTAGCTTATCAAATAGATTTGCATGCGTTATAATGCTGCAGTGGTTTCTTCAATCAATCAATCAATCAACGTTTATTTATAGAGCGCCTTTCCTACACAAGGCAACGCAAAGCGCCTCACAACCCATATAACATCATGCATAAATCATCAAACATTAGAATTTAAGTAAACATAAAAGGACAGATTAAGAGCACAAGATATATAAAATCACACAAGTGATTCTTCTGTTTTCCACCTAAATTATTCATTTTTAGATGAAGAAAATGTGGAACTGACTCAATGTTGTCTCATAGTTCTGCATTTACACTTTTGGGGCTGTAAACAGAATACATTTATGAGAAATACTAAGTGACTGTTTCCATTTTCCTGTTCTCAATGTCATGTGTTTCCCCCTTTTTTATGACAGCTCGGAGTCTTAGTTGTGTCAGGTTCTTTATCCTCTCTGATGGTAAAGCTCCAGTTCTTGCACATTTCAGGGCCTTCTTGCATGATCCGCTCAAGTAAGTTATTGTTAAAAAAATCGTAACTTGACAATAAATTGCTTCACTCAACTACAAACAATGCGTATTATGACCAAAACCATGAAATCTCTGGAAATCAAGACAAACTTTGCTCAAATCTGGCAAAATGTATCTTAATTTGAGCTTAAAACGGGACAAGAAAAATTATCTTGTTTTAAAAATATACAAGAAATGTCTCCCTTGGAATGAGGGGGGAAAAAAGCTGCAGTTTTTGAAATAAGACTAAATGGTTTTATCCCATTGGCAAATCATGTTTCAGAAGTTAAGATCAGAATAACTTGATTAGCCCAATTATTACCTTGTATTTTATATTTTTTTCTGCACAAGTTAAAAAAGCAATAGTCTGAACTGTGATATGGGCTCTACAGAGTGTTTTTGTGCAGAGCTCTGGGGCTTCACACTCCAGCAGCAGAGTGGAGCTGTCAGCACGCAGACGCCTCATCTCTGGGGAGCTGCCGTTCTCCCGCCACACTTCAGAATCTCCAGAATCTTCAGACACTTCAGACTCTTCAGACTCCTCAGACTCGGAGCCTTTTCTTCGGCTGCGGCTCCACTGAACACCTGCTGCACCGGGTCCTGGGTGGGACACACGCTCAGGGGAGATCCACTTACGTCACATGTGTAAGCTGTTACTGTGTAAAGCAGGGCTGGATGGAGAATGCTCATGTTACCGGGGAATTTTGGGGCTACACTGCAAAAAGTGATGACAAATAACTAAAGCTTTTCTCAAATTAAGGAAAAGAATTATCCTAATTTGTTGCACATGTTGACTGCCCTAAAACAACAAGGTCAGCGGGACAAGCAAAATGTTCTTGTTTTAAAAAGACACAAGAAATGTCTGCCTTGGAATGAGAAAAAAAGCGATAGTTACTGAAATAAAAAATAAATGGCTTGTTTCACTTGCAAATCTTTTTTTAAGACCTTAATTAATGTACTCAAAGAAAGATAAAAAAAAAAACAACAACACTTGATTCAAGCAATTTCTACCTCATTCTATAATTTCTTTGCAGTGTAGTTGTTGTTTTGAATATATTTAAAGCTGGGGTACCTAACTTTATTATTTCATATCATTAATAATCATAATAATAATGTTAATACTAATAGAGTCCTGAAAAAGTAAAATACTGTGAACAAATCAGACCACTACATGCTGTCTTTATCTTACATGTTAGGGTAAGAAAACACCATCTGAGTCACTTTTTGACACTTTGGGCTGAGAGCGGATTGGCTAAGTGAGTGTGGTCCTCTCTTTCCCACATTTCTGTCGGAAAAGTCGTTTAAATGTCACATAAAATGTGAGAAAGACACATGCTTGTGTCACAAGTTGGAAAGTTTACCCTTTAGGCGCCATCATATTTTGAGCTATGTGTTGTGAAATAGACAATATTTGACACCCTGTAATTTATTGAAAAAAGTTTGATTGCTTTAATCAATAACAGAAATGCATAGAGAAAAAAATGATGCTCTTTTAGTGAATAAAAGGTTAAGTACCCCATTTTTAAGCTTGTTCTAAAATGTAGTAAAGTATAGACTTATTTTAACCATTTATTTACACTGAGTTCTATTCTACAGGTATTAGCCACTTTTTCTTTCTATCTTTCTTCCTAGACCCACAAACCTATATATGACATCACTGCACCTGCTCTGATTGACAGTCCACGAATTGTAGAATTATTAAACATTTATTTTGTGAAGAGTCAAAGGCATTGTACTGATTAAAGCTCTGACAACTCCACAAAACCCTGCGCACAAACATGAGTAAAAACTGTGTAAATTTAGATGCATAATGGATGACCCAAAGTATCAATTTACTTTTCCTGAGCGTGCTCCGTTGCCATGGCAGCACTCCATGCATTATTCACAGGCCGAGTGAGGGTGACCGTGAGGCAGCTTAGGCACCGATCTTTCTTACATGCTTTCAAACTGTGCGGATTAAGCCCAGGTGGTAATCCAATGGCCACATAACTGCGCCTCTACCCCGTGGATGAAGAGGCACGAGGCGCACGGCTTCTCCTCGGGACATGTGAGAGGGGAGAGGGGAGATGGACGGGACAGAGGAGCCAGCGGACAAGCCCCAGAAGCGGGTGAGGTTCCGGGTGGCTTCAGGGAGCAGCGGCCGGGTCCTCAAGGAGATGTTCAAAGATGAAGGACCCTCGGACTCTCTGGATTCGGACTGCACTAGTAACTCGGACGCGGATCGGGCCAGCACGCCCTCCACCAGCGGGGATTCTCACGGGCCCCTGTATGGATTTATGGGCTCCGAGCTGGAGGATAGTGAGAGCGAGCCGGATGAGATGCTGTTGTACGCGGGGGGTTCCAGTAAAGACCGTGTTTTCAGCCCCAAGAGGGTCAACATCCTCAGCCAGAACGGGACTGTGCGCGGGGTCAGGCACAAAGTGAGCGCGGGGCAGGCACTTTTCGAGAGCTTGCCCATGATCAATAGTGTGAGTATGTTTACATGTGTTCACTGTTGTGTATAAAAAGCAGAAAACTTCTCCGGTATAGGTTTGAGAATTACATTTTCTTAATAGAAGTAGTAGGCCTATGTTGTTGTTGTTGTAGTTAATCTAAATGCATCTGTAGGCCAACTAATAAATAGTAGTAGCGACTTGTTGAGCATGCTGGGATAGTTGTTCAGGCAAAATATAGACAAAATTCTTATATTGCACTCTAACAATAATAAACAATCATTATTATATCAAAAACTGAATACAAAAGTTATGTGAGGGTTCATAATGGCTGAGTATGATATACTGTTTATTTTCTTACAGTTTTCAATGAATTGGACAGTGAAAATGTAAAATGTTTTTGATAATATCATTGATCGCAATCATTTTCTAAATCTATTTACACCCAAATGAGTTATGATAACAGGCCTAACTGCGCTGAATTACAATTACAATTCTAAAACTTCCCAAATCCAGTTCCACCTGCTGAGAGAAGGGTTGTGGCTGGGATAAAAGAGTACAATAGAGGACAAGGTCACAGGGTAATTAAAGTTTAATGATGCATTTCGTTAAATGTTTCAAGGGAAACTAATCAGGTTAATGAATTTTCACCAATTCGCTTTCTAGCAGTGTCCCTGAAGCAGACAACTCACTGCCAGCTGCAATGACAGTAATGTAAAGCTATAATTGAGGAGGCATGTCTCTTATTACAGCTATTACATAAAGACATGGTACAATAGACTTCATAAAGCCTCTTATCAACGTGAGTTCAGATTAGAGTCCAGTTAGAGAGAATCTGAAAGGCCTCATCCATCCACTGTATACTGCATTTTTAGGTGTAAGTTGTTTGGCCTAAAGTTACATCATGTTACCAAGTCTCCCTGTAGACAGCAAGTTTGTTTGAAGAAGTTTAAGTTGGCTAAAAGGCTAAATTTTTACCAATCAGGCCACATTAGTCTCATTAGCAGAATCTTGTGCCACAACTGGATTCAAGATGTTCTGAGCTTTACGAGGTATTGCATGCTTATATTGGCAGAGCTGAATTTGGCTAGATGACACTGAACTTGTGTACATGACCTCAATGGTTATTTGGGGTTAGCAAGGCAGAGGGCCACACACTGACATGAGGGCTGTGGACAGGCTTGTTAGACAAACAAACATCCATCCATCCATTTTCTTCCCCTTAATCCATTTCTGGGTCGGGGGGCGGCAGTCAGAGCTGCACCCAGTCCACTTAGCACCAGCCCCTCACTGATCCTCCTGCAGGTGGTGAGTCCACAGGAGCTGAGATCTTTTCAGTTGGGGCTTTGGGCAAAGTAGGGTTAAGTGTCTTGCCCAAGGACACAACGACAGCAGTCATCAGTGGGAGTCGTGAAGTAGGTCTTACGGTGGGCTCGAACCCACGACCTTCAGGCCCAAAGGCCAATGCTCTACCAACTGAGCTACTGTCGCCCTACAAACAAACATAGAAATGGTTTTAACCTCACTGTACAGAGGCCCTGAGCCATTAGACAGAGAAGTCTGAGTTGTTGTGAGGTCTGCACTTTGTAATAAAGACCAAGTAAAGGCTAATTTGGTCAGAAGGTGTCCAGTCTCATTACGTCAATACCAAGTTACTGTTGGTTCATTTGGTCTGAGTGCAGCAATTTGCCCCCTGGGCCATATACTCCTCTTAAAACACACAAATATTGGAGTTTTGGCCTCAATGTTTTTCAATTCTACATAGTAGTACAAAAACAAGACCAACCCAAAAAGACTTAAAACTACGATCAAAAAAGGATGTGTGGGTGCCCCATTCGTATTAAACACAACATAAGAAAAGAGGCCGTTTTTACTTTCCAGCCGTGGCACACTCCGGAGTTGTGAGAGCTTCTCCTCTTCATGCTTAGTGTGGTGGTGTAGCTGTCCACTGTGTCCATTATTAATAACTTTTAATAATGAAGGGGTAATAAATCCTGCTCTCCAGGAAATCAGTGTATTCTTGGAAAGCAAGGTGTAAAATCCCAGGAACTCAAAATAACTGTCCACTGTCATAAAATCCCCCACTTTATGAATAACAAAATTACATTGTTTACTCATTTTGTGATACAGAGGTTTTCAAAACAGACTTTCAGGAAAGTACATAATTTCTCTTTGTCATAAATATTGGATTCATAAAGTATTAATAATTATTATATTAATTTTCAAATAAATATTTTTATTGTATAAAAGTCTGTTTTCATCCAGTTAAAATCCAAGTTAAAATACAAATGTTATTATATTTTATTTTATTTATTCAGTACTGAGACCTGGGGGATGGAAACTTCAAAACTGATCATTTGAGAGGTTTATGTTCATTATAATTTGAAAATAGAAAACATAACCACTAACAATCATTCATTATATCCAAATTATGACCAAACAATATTCAAATCTCTGCTTGAGTGTACAAACTACTACTGTATATCTATACTTCTTCTTCTCATGACAACTTGATGTCCACAGCTGGAGTTGGCTCTGGAGTTCGGCCGCATCGTGATCTACACCACGAGTTTCCGCGTGGTGAGGACCACGTTTGAGCGCTGCGAGCTGGTCAGGAAGATCTTCCAGAATCACCGGGTCAAGTTTGTGGAGAAGAACATTGCCCTGGACTCTGAGTACGGCAAAGAGCTGGAGGAGCGCTGCAAGAGGATCGGAGAGCCACCGTCTCTGCCTGTGGTGTTCATAGACGGACACTACCTGGGGGTCAGTCATGTCAAACTCTCACAATCACTCACGCAAATGTAACACAATCATAATTACATACTTATATGCTCATGTTGACAGAATAGTGAATACCTGTAAACAATACATTCTGAATAAAACATTTGGATAGTACTAGTAGTGAATATTTGGACTTATATGCATTTTTTTGTGACTTAATACACAAAAAAGCATTGTTTTCATAATGTTTTTGTAATATCCTCCCTAAAATGCAGGAGCAAATACTGCAATTTATTCTTTACATTACTACTACCACTACTACTACTACTACCGAAGCTTCCCCACTAGGGATTGTCAGCCCCAGAGCAGGTCTGTCATGCTCCACACTAATTTTGCCACTACTACTACTGTCTACCGCCATAACTACTGCTACTTATTTGGCTTTGAATAACTAATATTTTTATTGCTCCAAATCATGATCACAAAGAGATGATAAAGTTGGGATGCTTCGATGATTTTGTTTATTATAGTTATTGTAGTTTATTATATTAATCATGTTAGTCACAACATAAACACAACAAAGTCAAATCAAACCATCTCCATCTTATTAGAAAATGTGCCAAAAAAACATGGATGTGAAAACTTGACAGAAGATCATAGTAAGTAAACTGTATAGAAAGAGAGGAACTATGAAGATTTTATTTTTAAAAGGTGGGATTTGAAAGCCAGTTATCCCCGCTTTATGACGGAAGAACAGAGTAATTAGTCTTTCATTCACTCTTGGGTGCTAAATGTTGGAGCATATTTGATACCATTAGACAGAGTGTTCCATTTCCACGGAACATAAAAAAGAGAAAGCCGCTTCTCCGATTTTCACAGTTTGTTTCTCTCACAAAGAATACAAAGTGCTTGTGTGAACCATCTAGTGTTTCATTTATTTCTTGATTTATTTTTTTAATAGAGACAAGTGTACACAATCAACATGTGAAACTCTACAACATTTATAGCCAAGGCTAATTTGCAATGTTCGTCTCTAGGAGGGCTTTTAACGCAATTAATAACACACTTTACGTTATAGTATTAACATTATACAAAGGCAGGTGTCTCCAACTCATTAATGATCACATAACTGGTTTGTTAAAAAAAATTGCTTCAGTTAGTGTTTAAAACTAACCCAGACAGAGTTCATTCAGTTCACTTTTTAAGTAATAACCACTATTAGTCAATGGAGCAGGTGATATTTGATAATGATGTTTTTTGATTGTGATATTTACAAAACACCTATTGCCCCTTGCACTTTTGGTGTGTGTGGCAAAGGCTGGCTTGAGCCTTAAGGTGCTCACTAAATGTCAACAGGTGGCTCTGATAAGACCTCTACTGTATATAAGCTCTGCCCCCGAGTCACATGTCACACCTGGTGGTTTGGTGACGCTGATGCTTTGGCTGCCGCAGAAGGTGGATTTCTGGCGTGTTTAAATATCAAGAATCTGTGCTGAAGGCCACCAAAAAAACTCCGACAGAAAACCACTGGTCCTCCGAGTCTCCGAGTTACTATGGGTTACACTAAGGAGAGACAAATCCAATCTCAGAAGCATATTGGCACAATGTGAACATGTTTGTAAGTGTCCAGAAGAAATATGTAAAGCTGGGGTAGCTAACTTTCAGACCACTGTTTTTTTTAAAAAATCCACCTGTCTAGTCCCTACACGATAAAACAGTTTCATTAGTTTTCACAGGCATGTATTTTTGGCCTTGCTCACACCTTTAGATCTCCTTTTTCTGACAGGAAAAGACACCCTCACTCAGCCCATCAGCACTATGCTCATAGTGGCAGGGCTATTTATTACAATATGAGCAAGATAATGAGATAAGAAGACAATGTGATACATTTATAACTTCACCACTTTCGTATCTCATTAAAATCTGGTGTTTTTTTTTACCTTTCAATCCACTATATACTGCATATAATACAATAATACTGTTCTGATTTGATACCAGTATTGTGCATCGCTAAACTGTAACAAACTACTAATCTTCTATTACCACTTTCATATTTTTATTTTTTGCAGGGAGCTGAAAAGATTCTAAGCATGAACGAATCAGGAGAACTTCAGGACCTCCTAACCAAAATCGAGGTACAATTTCCCTTCTATTGCACTAAAACGAGGACAGAATGGCTGTTCCGACTGCTCAAATATGCATTTGTTTTCTGGGATTTATTGAAATGTGTCTTGTGCAGCAGCAGGCACAGAACTAAAGGTAATCATAGCCTCATAATAAATTTACATGGTGTGTCCAAGGCTCTCAAAATGAGCACCATGCAACAACACCAATCATTTCCCACCCCACTCCCCATGCCATCCATAAAACATGAACGCGCTGCAGCAAAAAGAGATAGATGTGCGTCAATGTGCGGCCATCAATAGTGAAAAGGCCATTTATCGATTGGATTTCAACACATTTGTTCAAACCCAAACGCAGAGAGAAGCCTGCTCTGCTTTGTTGGCGCTGCAGCTCCTATCTGTGCCTGCAGTGGTGTTCTTTAGCCAGGCTTTGCATTCTAATTTGAGTTACAGATCAAACAGGAAATCCCATACGGGGAAAAAAGGGTGTAATGACATTTAAGATCTGAATTCAGTTTGCCGAGGGCTATTGAAAAAAAAAAAATGGAAAAAAAGGAAAAGTGTGCTGCTCAGAAAGGTCAAGCGTGCGTTAATCAGACTGGAGGCAGGCAGAGAATTTCTTGTGTTTAGGTTAAGGCCACAAATTAGAATATAGTAAAGCAAATATTATAATATGTATAATATTGTCTTGTCATTGTAACTCACGGTTATTTTTGCACAATTTTGATATTCTACTTTTATGTCTTGCACACTTATTTACTCAAAATAAACATGGCTTAATAAATGTGCACTTCAAAATAGGTTTGCTGAGATTTGTAGATTTTTTTTCTGTTTTCTCGCAAATAGGTGATTCCATCGGAGCTTTCTTATATATGTTGTACAGTTAAATATTCAGCTTTGATTAAAAAAAATTCAATGTTTTTGCAGACTTTCATTTGGAAAATATCTGTGCGGACATAGCAGTAGATCTTTGTAGAGAGTAATGAGAAGTATAAAGTATACAGCTTAAAAACATTGATTAAACCCCCTATTAGTGATTCTATCCCCATTCTAATGTGAGACAGATAGAGGACTACTGTTTTAATCCTAGAAATAAATAAAAGGAAAAAAAACATGAAAGAAAAATGTAGGTAAATATTTTTGGGAAGCCAGGTTACTCTATAGAAAGTGGCCTAGATTTAGGAGCACCAAAAGGTAACCTATGGCAACAGGACAATACACCCTATATCTAAAAATCCCAGGTGCAGAGGTTTGCATTAATGACCCCCGTATTAACCTTGAGTGACTTCAACATCAACATGACAGCTTTTTCCAAATGCCATTTTTAACAAGTGCGTGTGTCCTCAGAGGGTTCAGCAGCCTCAAACGTGCCAGATGTGTGGGGGCTACGCCTTCGTCCCGTGCCCAACGTGCCATGGCAGCAAGATGTCGGTGTTCCGGAACTGCTTCACGGATTCCTTCAAAGCCCTCAAGTGCACCTCCTGCAACGAGAACGGCCTGCAGGCGTGTAGGAGCTGCAGCCAGTGAAGATCCTGAACAAGTGCCTGAACCTACCCCCCACCTCCATCCCCAAAACCCCTTCATCCCATAAACTGTTTGTGTCTGAACGAGCAAACTTATATTTTTCCATGGCCATTGTCGCTGAGAATTTGTAATAAAATGTCATGTGTATTCTGTGGTGTGATGTCTTGAAGAGTGAAAAATGCTTGGCTGATCACTTTCTCTGTAAGCTTGTTATAGTGCTGAGGTCCTCCCATTAACAGAGGTGTCATTACTAATCCGATATCAGACGGGTTAAGTAACCAATTGAGAACAAGAAGGAAAAAATAGGTCATCATGGTGATCATCGCGGTGTACAGGATTTTTTTTAATCAACAAGCTCATCTTTTAATTACATTACAATTAAAGCAGATTTTTTTTAACGACAGAAGTCAATAATATGGTTCCATTCTTTGCAATATAGGCCTCAAATAAGCTTCAGATGGACCTCATTTTGACAGGTCCATGGCGAAAACACATTCCCATTGAAGTCCTCAGTCCAAACGAGATCCCACGCTGTTTGTGTGTTTCACCAGATGATGTCATCCGCTGGAGCGCCTCCGCGGAGCGGGTCTCTGCGCCGTCATAGCCCTGTACAATGCTGCTTGAACCTCATTAGACAAGGCAGCACTGTAAAGAGGCTAAAGGCACAGAGCAGTGGTCCACGATGGCTTTCTCTTTCACACCATCTGGACCATTCAAGATAAAATACATCATTGTTACAAAAATATTCAATATAATAGGATTCACACACATCGACCATGAGTACAATTGTGGATACACCACCGACCAGCACACACAACTCTCGATGGCCATAGGCTCTTGAAAGCCCACCATCTATTGTGAGATGGCTGGAGGTCGCATAGTGAAAATGTGGGAGCCCGTGTGCATGTTACGGTGCCCCCGTCTGTGTGAAATCAGCCTGAACACAGTGTGGAGGAGCGAGAATGACGACAATAATAAAGAAAAGACTCTACAGAACAAATGCACCTTAGTGTGATAGACCCCCGGTGCGTGGATGCAGATGACGCCGGTGTTGGAGCCTCTAACCTCAATACTGTGGCTGTGGTTGATGCGCACAATGGAGACATGTTTCTAACGGGGGGAGATGTGGAGAAATAGATGGGCAGTGGCACCGCTGACTCCGGGAATGATATGACGAGACATGACACTGATGCGCTCAACAGCCAAATGTAACAACAACATTGAATGGTGAAAAACCTGTAATGGCGTTTGTCCGCTCCTCTGCTTTGATGAAATGTATTTCAGTCGAGTAGCCTGGCGCGGTCCAGCCTCGACGCTCAGCGTAATGTTTTGAATGGTCTCAATGCGCAGACTGGTACAAAACCACTGTTTTTTATTGACGTCAGCGCACACTGCGCCTCCTGTCGGACAGTTCCACAACTGCATCAAAATATACATAATTTCACAGGGCAGACTGGAGCCCACAAAGACCTCAACGTGAGATTAAGAATAAAGATTTTCGTTTGAAACTCTACGTTATTAACCATATTGCACGCTTCTAAGCAAAGTACATTGAATTGGAATCAAATAAATGCATTGACATGGCAAAATAATTTATTAAATTATTCAAATTTAAATCCAACTGCTTCAGCAACAACACAATATACAAGCATGGAGAAATGTCACAATATTAACATTATTTGGGTACAAATGAAACGTTGGTCTTGTGAATCATACAAAAGTTTTGGGAAATTTGTATGGTTCTAATAAAACCACACTTCACCCATTGTATTTGAAACTGTTGAAAAGCAGTCATGACCGATATTATAATTGAACAATGGTCATGACACACCGGTAGGTTGTGTAGATGCACATGACCAAGGCTAAAAGTCATTGGGGAAGCTGTGTAGATTTAGCTACACAATATAACTACTGCCCAGTAGTTAAGGTTCTCTTATTACCCAAATTATTATCTTTAGATAAAACCTCTAAGCTGCCAACCTGAAACTTGAGGTACAGAATAATAAAATAAAAAATAAAAAAACTACTTGTAGGTTTGTCAAGATTGTGCTTAAAATGCTCAAGCAACCATTTTACAAGTAATTAAATTACTCATTAGAACAGGCCACTGCCATTGGTCAAATGTGTTTGAAATTTTAAAAGTAACTTATTTTAAAGGGGCTGTAAATGTATGGGCATTGCAATAAAATAAAACAATCTATATAAATAATGTTTCTTTAGGAATAGGCACCACCATTCATGTGGCTCCACAATTTTCTTAATAAAAGAAAAGGGTGTAGACTCTAGAAGTTCTGACACATATTGTATCATTAAACCTTCAAATGCAAATTCTCTGCGAAACTGCACTCACAGAACTATACACTTGGTGACTTCAGCAGCTCCCACCAACAGCCTACTCTACGTTGAGCCAAACCTTCATATGAAGCAAGACAACCAAGGAAAAGCAACAATAAAACTATGTCGGTATGTAGTTTTTACACTAAATCTGTATAGTGTTTTTTGAAGGACCTCGATGGAGGAAAAAACTTAAGCTTGACACTCCTTTCTTCCTTCTTTTTGTTCAAGATGTGTTCTAAAAAACCACCACTTTCATAGGATCTCCAAATCCACATGACGGACCTCTGGATTACGTTGCTGAAACACAAAACACATGTATGAAAACACCATTGACAGAAAAGCTCCCGTAGCAGACGTTAGTGTTACCTTGAGTTCCTTCTCCAATCGATCGACTTCAGCCCCCAATGTGTCAATGATGTTCTCGCCGTGTTTCAGCATAAAGGTTTCAAGTTCCTCAGTCGACTTCACCTGCTGAATTTCCTGAAGAATAAAATCAGAAAAAAAAATTGTTCAGCTCACTAAAATAAACTTGCAACAGTCTATGCTTGCAACTCATATAAAAAAAAAAAAAATTCAAAGTAAATTAGAGAATTGGTGAAATATTTCACATGAGCAAAACCTCCACCAGATGGAAGACTAAAGATGGTACCCAGACAAACCATAAAGAATACTTAAAAGTAAAACTCACATTGAGAATTTGGTCAATGTCTTGTTTTTCTAAATATGAGCGAGTAACCACCCGACCATCGAAGTCCACCTCTGCCTTGAAGCGCACTTTACTCAGGCCTATATCTGTGGCTTTCACATCATGGATCCCTCTGGTCATTGAAAAGAAGACATTCAAGCATCATTAAGTAAGCAGCTTGCAACTTCACTGAAACATGTAGGAAAACGGCACAAACATATATTGTTGATTTGGTAGGGTTGCAAGGGGGCAATCATTCCTGGTCAATTCTTTCCAATGAAAAAAATGTAACTTATAAACTACAAATGTGTTATCCTGGGCCATATTGTCAATTACAACTTTTGTTTCCCCCTCACTTGCAATCCTTGCGGAGGGTGTACTTGCCTCACTGCAGGATCACTTTCCAAGAACTCTGTGAGCTTTTGCAAACGCTCTGGCTGAATGGAACGTCCCAGCAGAGCTTCAGTGTTTGTGTAGATGAGAAACGCTGACACGGCGCCTAACAATGTGCCAACACCCAGAGAGCCCAAACAGTCATAGGTGGGGTTACCTGAACAGAAACGCATGGCTGCAGGTGACAACTTCAAAACCAACAAAGACATGTCTGCACAGGTGGAGCTGGTGCGCTCCAAACAGCTTTTAATTTTTCCAACCTGTGAGAGAGGTCAGGCCCATGCTTCCAGCTGCCATAATGACCCCTAGTACTGCAGCGGCATCCTCCAGCAGCACCACGTTTGTGCTTGGGTCCCGACTTTCCATGACTAAGGAAAAGATAAACTGGGAGATGACTATACACCAGCAACCATGACCATGATGCTCAAAACACAAATATAAAGTGGCCAGGCAGCCCCAACTGTACTATGTAATTGTTCTCTCATTTTACAGTCAACTTACCATAATCAAAAAAGGTCACCTCTTGCTGATGAGCACTTCTTCGAATTTCATTAATTGCAACAAGTAACGTTGCTAAAAAAAAAAAAAAAAATAGATTAAATATATACATAATTTCTCCTGCAGCATGATAATGTGACATAAACATGTTTGTCACTCACCTCCTTCTGAAACTAAAGAGCCAGCAAGAATACAGTAGGCCTGTAAAAGAGGTAATTTTATTTAGTTTGTGTGAAGACAGGACAGGCAGTAAAGAGACACTGAAGTGTAGCATTTACCCATAATAATGACTCAATAGGCTCTGGGTGCAACAATCCCATGATGCCATGATACCAGGAGAGACCAGCTCCCATCATAAAAATGCCAACACCACTGATGAGAGACGCAATGTAGCGCATGTTTGAGAAGCCATACCTACATCCATAATAATAAATCATAGTTTTATTACATAGAAAATGACATGATGGATCTTCCACTGAGGAGGTATACTCACGGGTGCACAGCATCTGGGTTGCGAACAGACTGACTGATGCCAAGTGCTAACAGACACTGGTTACAGGTGTCAGCTAAAGAGTGGATGGCCTCTGAGAACATGCTCGCTGACCCAGTGTAGACCCAAGCCAAGAGTTTAAAGAAGAAATTCAACCCATTTCTAAAGTCAAACAAACAGCACCAAATCATCAATGTGATCATTTCTACAAGTGCAATAATTTACTTTCATATTAATGTTGGGTACATCTTAAACTCTGCTGTATTACTTTCATGTGACACAACGGCACATGATGCTTTCTTAACACAATTACTTTAATCTGAAGAGCGGCCCACTTCACGTGAGGCCTGCCTCTAGAGTAAACTCTGTTAGTTCTGAACTAAATGAACAAAATTGTAAAGAAATGATTGTAAAAAAAGAACAAACATGAAACTTACATGCAAATGGCAACCATTACAACTTTTCCTGGTCCTTGTAAAAATGGTGTCCTCTTGCCTGATCGAGGCTTAAAAAAAATAAAACAACAACTTTAATTTCTATTAGGACATGGAGAAATTGTCATGGTTATACAGTGCACTGTAATAATGTGGGTTGCATTAATTATAAAAAAGTACACCTTTGTGTTTCCCCAAAAGTCCTTATATTCCTTCAGCAACTGTTGATTGCGAAAGATATCTATAGATAGATAAGAGCAGAAACATCTTGGTTATTGATGATTTTCTGCACTAGTTGCACTGTAAATGGTACTATACACACTTTCTTCATACTCTCTCTCCACTTGACTCCTAAGATTTCTCTCACGTGCTAAAGCTTCAACACTCCCCCAGACATCTAGAGCTCTAGGAATCAAAAAGAAAACTTTTTTTTTCCTCATAAAAATTAACAGATTTAAGATGTTACGAAACACACTTTGCCTCTACGTCAGACCGCAGAAAAACAGTGAATGCCTCTGTATCATCATGGGGACTTCTCCGTCGAATCTTTCTTAGTTGGTCTAAGTCACTGTGAGGAACAAAAGCATTAGTCTTCACTGCAGAGATCACCCATCAGATATAACTAAACACTATTCACCTTGGTTTAAGACAGAATTCATTCATAGCCCTCACTGCTGTAATAAAGTTGTTCTGAGTATATTTGGCCCCATACTCCCTCTTCTTTAAAACAGCCCGGACTATGAATACAAAAGTATTGTTATTTCAAAGCCAGTAGTTATGTATTGATGAAAAAAACCCAAACAAAATACCTTTTACTTGATATGGCGGTGTCATAGACATTTCTAAAACAATCACAAATTAACATCTTTAAATCACACACCCTCAGCATGAATATGCTGTTTCAAATACCTGACGCAAGAGTAGATTTAGCAGTATCCCCCACCACCTTCTCTTTACTTTCCCCTGATGCCGATTTGGGAGGCTCATCTTTACTAGTCCCAGAGGTAGAAAAGTACTGGATCTTGTTCAGCCTTAACGCTGTGACACGGAAATCTGGATGACTCAACCACCAGCCGTGTCCACTCTGCCAACCTGTTATTGAGAAACAATCATCACAAAATCTGGATGAACATTGATGGATCTTTGATCGTAATGATAACTATATTGACAAATAAATTAATTCAATAGTTATTTAAATTAACGCAAGAAACATATACAGATTCAATTCATGTTACCAACAACTTAATGCGAACAATTTAGCTCTGAATATCATATCATAGCCATAAATGGCTATGATAGAAAGATGCATTATTGAGTTGAATAGTGACCAACAGGCCTAAACCAAATCCTCACCATGGTTTGACTGGTTGCACTTCAGGCTCCACTGTGACAGACAGGATCTGTGGTGCAATGTGACCCTGAAGAACAAGTGCCATGGCCTGTGCGCAAAGCTCGGAAACATCCTCACGAGTGTGGCGTCCCTATGCAGCCGGAAATGATGATCTCTTGGAACAGACAAAGATAAGAGAATAAACCTTAATATACTGTAATGATAGGCCGATATGGTCATTGTTTTGCACATCGGTATCGGCCAGGTGTCAATGGAGGATGATATTCCAGTATGAACTCCATCCATCCATCCATCCATTTTCTACCCTTTAATCCATTTCTGGGTCAGGGGGGTGGCAGTCAGAGATGCCACCCAAGTCTCATAGCACCAGCCCCTCACTGATCCTCTGCAGGTGGTGAGTCCACAGGAGGACAGCTGCTCTCTGAGTGAGCAGAGCCTTGATCTTTCAGTGGGGGCTTTGGGCAAAGTGGGGTTAAGTGTCTTGCCCAAGGACACAACGAAGTATGAACTCTTCCAGTGTATTTGATGTGCATGTAGGCTTAGATGTGTGGGGTCGAGGGTGTTATATTGATATTGGTAATCAGTAACGACCAAAATGTTCACATCAGTGCATAAATGACAAATAATATTGATCAAAAAGTACTGACTGCAAACTAAATAGTTAATTCTACTGGTTTATAGTAATTGTGCAAAGATTACGTTTCGGTCTGTGGGATAGGTGATCATAAAATATAAATTATCATTCCATTTAATACAAAACATTTCTTTGACTAGTTAATAAAATGCTTCACTTCAGTGGTGAACCAAGTTAATGTATTACTTGCAACTGATCAATTGAGATAACCAACTAATAATGAGAGAAGAGTATCAAGTCAAGCCTCAAGCCAAAAAATGCATTTAGATTAAATTCTTAATGAAAATCCTATCCAACATGAATCTTCCCTTCTTTGTATGCGAGACCTGCTGTAAATTTAAAAATATGTGTGTGATTATTATGTTTTAACACTGCTTAACTTTTCTTTCCTTATTCTTAGCTATGGATCCTGTGCTTGCACCACAGACTGTAAATATTAAAACTTGCATCCGAGTGTTTCAGTTTAGTTTATTTCAATGGAGGCAATGCAATTTAATGAAACACACAATTAAACAAGTTTTAAAAAGCCACAATTAGCCAAAAATGCTTTTTCATCTATAAATCCCCCCTGCTTGATAACATACTAAAATAATAATAATCAGTACATCTTCAGCTTTCTCTGACCACCTCATATTAAGATTGTATGTTCCAAGTCACGTTAATGAAACTTTTCTTAATTTGATAATTCGATGAATGAGTCGAGAGTGGTTTACAGATCTAAAAATGCCATAAGCCACCAGCACTTCCTACGACATTATTTACAATCTTAACCCTGTAGAAAGTCGTCACAACCTTACCATTACGTTGCTATTTAAACACTTCAGTCTAAAAGCGGATTTGTAATTTATGTCACTGATAATCACTTAGTTAGCTAGTTGGTTAGCAAGCTAGCTAGTCGCCGGGTTGGCTAACATGCCAATTGTCCAAAAGGTATTTGTGAAAAGGATAGTTTTCAAGCAGTAGGTCGATTCTGTCAGCCTGTGCACATTGTCACAATCGTTAAACAAACACATTATATTGTAACATTGCTGTCTGGGGCTAAACATCTATGAGCTGTCCCCGATGCAAGGTCTTAGCCGCGTGAAGTTTGAGGTCCTTCACAACTTTTCTTCTCCAAAAGGTCGAATTATCGTTATAACCCACTCAATAAACCGTGTCGTACGATAACACCCTACCTTGTTATGGCGAAATGCGATGAGCATAATCCATGATGATGTCCAGACTCTATGGGAAAAGTGTGTTTAGCAGCAGCTCTGTGGGCAGTCTGTGATGCATCAGTGCTACAAACAAGTGCGGCCGAGGAGATCTCGTGAGACCTGCGTGATTCTGGTTAGCTCCCACCGCGAGATTAACTAATGACAACAAGCCAACACGGAGAGCCTAGTAGAACTGTAAAATCATCTAGTTTTTGGCAACTGTTTATTTATATCGCTAGTTTTCCCTCGTTTTTCTTGGTCTCAGACTCCTCTTTTAGAAAATGTAATTATGTAATAAAATGTTCTTAAAATTATATCATCATTTTGCCATGACATCAGTGTGCAATTATTTTAATCAATAATGTGATGTCCCATCTCCTAAAAGAAAAAGATTTTAAAGTACGAGGAAAGGTTTTTTTTGCTGCATTCAAATGTCTGTACATAAGCGCTGTGTAATGGGACCCAACAATCACAAGGGGGCCTCAAAATCCAACAGTTTACGCATGGATGTTTACTTTAGAATAACCTCAACAAGAGATGTATTAGGTAACGGTATTTTATTAATCACACCTGTATTATAAAATATTGATAGGAATGAAAGAAAAATAACTTATTAACAAACTCATAAAAGGAAACAACTAATGTTTAACCTCCATATTATTGAGAGCGCAGACACACAAACAAATGTGTATGGCCTTGTCAATGATCAGCAAACATTTATCAGTCTTCCTAAAATCTTGGCAGAACAGAAGTCTGAAATGAAAAAAATTAAATAAAATAAAAACAGTGCAATAGGCCAAAAACTTAAAAAGAATAAGGTTCAAACTAACACACAGACAAAGAACTCAAAACAAAGTGCACAAAAAGATAAGGGGGATCAGATTTGCTTTGAGACCATTTCGTTTTTGTAAAAGTATTTTTTAGGTGTTGATTGTTGTGGGAAAGTTATAGAGCCAAATATAAAGTGTTTAAATGTTAACGCATAGTGACAAATTCTTCTGACGAGGTCGGATGAATAGCAACAGTTTTATCAAAGTCAGATTTGGTCGCTCCCATCTTGATGGCCACAGCAAAGCCTTGTAACATCTCATCACAACCAAGACCTTGCATATGCAATCCAACCACCTGCAAAAATCATTCAAACTTTCAACAACGTAACTTATGTATTTCCATTATGTTGTAACGGCAACAAAAGTTACCTTCTCTTCTTTGCCTACACACACCAGCTTCATAATGCACTGGCTCTTCCTGCTTGTGAGTGCATAATACATTGGAGTAAAAGATGTTTTATAGATTTTGACATTCTCTTTCCCTCTTGTTGTGATTGCTTCCTCTGAAATAAAACACAGGGAATATGTTCCATACTTCTATGATGTAGTATATACATAATAATAATATACATTACATCTAATAGGGGGATAATAATTTGTCTTTTACCTTCTGTGAGACCAACCGTTCCAATGGGTGGGTGGCTAAACACCACTGTAGGAATGCAGGAGTAGTCCAACTTTGAATCCTTTTTGCCTTCAAAAAGTCTGTGCGCCAACTTTCTACCGGCTGCAATAGCAACTAAAAATACACAATAATTTTAGATTAACCCTTCAATGCCTATGCATATATGATCAATGGGTATTTATGCAATAGACAAAAAGAAAAAAAATATTGTTATTGGAGTATTACAGTCAACTAACTCACAAATGAATCTTTACCACATAATCACTCACCAGGAGTCAAAAGTGCCTTTCCACACACGTCACCGACTGCATAGACTCCAGGACAACTAGTGTTTTGAAACTCGTCCACTACAATGTGACCGCGTTCATCAGTCTCCAAGCCCTGCAAACATGCACACAGATGCGTGGGAATTAGTTGTAGATATACCACTGCACTTCAGCAGGGTCAAGCTTAGTAAAGACTGCTGCATGCAGTTTGGGTGTAAGAGATCAGTTGCTGCAAGCTAGCAACTTAGCATCATAAAGAAATGTAGAAAAAAAAAGTATGAATTGAACAAAAACAAGTCTTACAATTCCTTCAATGTTCAATCCAGATGTATTTGGTTGTCTGCCAATAGCCCAGAGGAGGCAGTCCACTTGGTCAATAGAACTGATCTTTTTCTCTTCATTTTTCTTCTCAAGATCTTGAGTTACAACGGTCAACTTCAGACCGCTGTCTGTTTTTGTCACAGCCGTCACCTGAGAATTCTTCCATAAATCCACTCCTGAATTCTGCAACTCCTTTGTACAATTTGCACTGATGAGGCTGTCAAAGTTTCTTAAAACCTATAAATGATGAAAAGTCTTGTAAAATATAATGCAACTAAAGAGCTTTAATGAAAACAAAAAAATCTTACTCCTGACTGACGAATTACAAGTGAAGTTTTGGACCCAAGTGTAGAGAGAATCCCAGCCATCTCCACGGCAATGTATCCAGCACCAACAACCACAGTGCGCCTGACAGAGAGTAAAACATTACCGTAAGCACTAAATGGTAGTAACAAGGGAAATGGGAATGTTTTCACTATCATAAAAGTTGAAAGTTCTTCCAAATCATTTATACGAATACAGTTTCTAATACTTTCACATACTTGGGTAAACTTTCAAGTTCAAAAAAGCCATCACTGGATATCCCCAGAGACGCCCCTGTTGCAATAAACAAGTACAAAATAATAAGCAAATAACAATAACAATGAAATAACTCAACCTTTTTCTCACAGAAAAAAACCAAACCTGGAACTTGGTCATCAGTCAAAGATGAAGGAAACCCCCCGGTGGCAATAAGGATGTGAGGAGCGGTAAACTTCTGTCCATTGACCTCCACCGTGGGCTCAGGGTCATCTGTGAATCTGGCTTGACCTTGAATTGTCAGTATTTTTGCCTGGGGTGGGAATAAAAAACATGTAGTTGACTCAAAATTGTAAATGTCTAATACAATGGTAATACTGAATACATATTAAAAAAACATATGATACATATAGATAAATACTGTTGTGAATTTAGGGCTATACAAGAATAAATTGAATTGAATATATCTGGTGTACCCTTACCTTGTCAAGATTGCTGCGATAAATTCGGTTCAGGTGACTTACATAAGCATCTCGTTTGGCTTTTAAGGTTCTAAAAAGGGAAACATCATGATATTTTTATGTATGGCATTGTGGAAACACACATATTGTGCACACCACAAAACTGGATAAAAACAAGGATTAGAACATGACCCAACCTGTACCACAGGACAAGAAAATGTGTCATACTGTGGTAAGATTTCATTTCAAGAGAAAACAGGAACCTTTTGGCAACACGCTTGTGTAAATTACAATACATATATCTCAGATTCTTCTACACATCTACTTCTATTGTGCAGTTTCCACAGCTCATCTTAGTTCCAGTTACAGCCACTTTCAACAAAGCGAAGTGCTTGATTCCTCTGAAAAATAGGACATGGGGAATAATATGGGGACTAGTTCAAGTATGGAAATACCATTTGTCAGTGGCCACTCCTTCAAACCGACCTTTCACAACCAAGAGCAGGAAGGTAGATATAGGTAAAAGTGAAGCAATAATAATGTATAAAGTGTCTCGCTTAAGAAGGAAAGCTTTCCATAGAACAACTATCCAGTGGTTCACAAACCAACGTCAAGGCACAAGACACAGGTGTCAACTTACTCCCAACTGAAATGTGCCTGTCCCACTTCGTAGCCGTAGTCACCGTGATCGTGCAGATATTCAGCATGAACTGCAGCATTCCACATAACCTTTAAAAATATATATTTCATATTATACACACACATATACATACACATATTACATAATATGTGTATGTATATGTGTATGTATATTACATAATATGTGTATGTATAAATATAAATATAATGTAATGCAAGAAAGAAGATTAAACAAAAATAATACCTTTTTGGGGACACAGCCAACATTAACCTATTGGGAAAGAAAAGAAAAAATAATAATTTTTAAATGGCCAAAAGTTATAATACAACTACACTACAATTCAGTGTGTAAAATGTTCAGTGTGTCACGATTTGTAATATATCGAGTTATAAAATTCAATACAAAAATTCCAGAACAATACATTACGGGGATCGATATTGTGAGCACTGGTACATGCAATTACAGATTTTTGCAGTTAGTGAAAAATATAAAAAATATAGCGACTCTACTTCACAATATAACCGTTGCAAATTACTTAGTTATTTGACTGCATATGTCATATGTCTTAGATTAAATGTTTAATGGGCTCTGTATATGAAGAATAATTTCCCCCAGAGACAGTAAACTCAATTAACATGTGTATTACAAATAATAGTCAGTAGCATTACTCTTTTGAATAGTATAGTTTATTGCAAAACATTTCTGTAGCGATATATTGTGCTTCCAATGCGTTATCTGAGAGGCGTAGTGTACAGTTTAGGAAAATAGTATTATCAGTGGGGGTCAAATGAGGCCGTCTGTGGCTGCCATGGGTAAAGGGACATCCATTAAGGGAGCACAGAATCAGCCAAGGTGGACTGGAGGCTAATAAAGCATCTAAGTTAATATGGCTGTGGGGTTTACTCACGCAGGTACCTCCGAGTTTTTGGCTCTCGATCACAGCGGTGGAAGCTCCCAGCTCCGCCGCACGACGAGCACCAGCCAGACCTCCAGACCCCCCGCCTACCACCAGAAAGTCCAGCCGGGTGACATCCCCTGTCCACGCGTCGGAGGCCATGTTGCGACGGGAAAGAAGAGTCCTGCGGATATGTGGGGAACGTTTATCAAGTAAAAGCAAACGGGGAGCGTGTACCAGCGTTAACTTATAGAATAGTGCCATAACCAGGAAGCTCTCCGGTCAGCCCATCTGTGAGGAGGAGGCACAGGGGAATGGGAGGGTCGGTGAAAGCCATTGCTGTGTCATTATGAATTGCAACAATAGTGTGTACATCCCAGAAACAGTTTTCACAATGGCGATTCTCACATGGGCAGCAGTAGAGATCACAATACATGTAGACATCACATTTATGCAAAGACTATTACTCCAACTAGTAGATATAGAACATATATAAAGTTACTAAACTGTTACCACGTCTCTGCTCACCGTGTAAAGGACGCAGAGGGAAGTCGCTTGCAAGATCTGGCAAAGAACATGTTTAATGCAAATAAATTATGTTGAGCTTTTTGGCATGATGGGGAAGAACCCAACTGATCTCTGTTACATCAGTGTCATGCAGACAACATAAGCAAACACAAACTTGGCCACGTGTGACAGAGTCTCCAAGGCGGCTTTACCCGAGCCAATATCTACAGTTAACGCTAGACAATTCTAACGCTATACCATTAGATGCACGGACTGTAAAGGTTTTGGAGGAAATATGTACAAATATATATATTTCTGCATATATCACCGTGGTTCCCTCTTGCATGGAGCCACATGCATTAGCTCCGTTAATATAATACATCCATGATTAGCTCATGATGAGGTTCGTGTTAAACAAAACATCCGGTGATACCTTTCAAAACAACAGCATATCGTGGTCTGCGCATCAAATCTGACAATATATTACATGAGCATGAGCACTTAGAATTACTGACTGTAAAACGTTTAAGATAACTAACTATGACTTGTGTATTCACTTTAGCAAAGATGTTTAAACTAAACTCAGCTGTGCAGCTTACGACGCTAGAGTGGTGCCTCTTCTGTTGCCATGGCAATGGTGGCGACCATCTTTTGATTTGCATAAAATCATAGGAACCCAGGAATTAGTTGTTTGAAGTTTAGTAGTAGCGTAGTACCAACAACAACAGCAAATCATCAAACTGTGCCAAACCACAAAAGAAGGATAGGTTTGAGGAACGGGACTTTAATGACCAATCACAATCAGCATTAAGCAGCCGTCTAAGGTCCTGCCTAGGTACTGAGATCTGATCTTAAAAACAAATCTACAGCCCTCCCCAGCCACTGGGTCAAGCCAAGCGTTGCACCAGGAGTACTAGACTATAAGGCTTTATGCCTTATATGTGTATACTTTTTCATTGTTTTCTATGTTTTGTTTTTTCATGTTAGGGTGTGCTTGAATCATTTTAAACTGCACAAAGCATGGAAACCCTGACCAAAATTTTAGGATGGATTTGGGCACCATTTCCAGAACGGGGATGGATGGCAAGACTCGACGCACTATTCGGAAGATAAATGGTATTGGTTTGGTCTCCTGTTTACATGGCGTTTCAGGGGGGTGTTTTTACTGATCCAACAGAACAGCGGCAAACACAGGTCTATGTCTCCTCTAGTTTAACTTGTACAAACTGCAGATAAGCGCCATTGTACAGCACCATTGTTCTTTTTTTGCTACTTCTCTTCAAATTTCCGTTGCACAATATACGCTATTTGGTAGAATTGATAGACTGAGTTAAATGCAAACGCATGATAAACCACATCTCAAAGAACTTTAGTCTTTGAAGTGTCTTTTGGTTTGGAAAAAAGTTATTTACCCCTAAATCGTACGTAAAGGCAGTGTTTGTCTCTAGCGTTAAAACAATTGTGAACTGCTTTTACTTTGAACAAACTCCCACCGGAAGTGTGCATCGGCTGCTAACGTCCCTGCTAATGCAACAGCAGGCTAGCCCGAAGCATCGGCTGGATTATTTTGATACTTGTCCTCATCGTGCAGGCAGACTTGTACTATTTCAATCGCCTCCAGATGAACTAAAACGTGTATCGTTGTTGTATGCCCCGCTGGCAAAGGTACGTGCAGTTTTAATGTATGAAAGACCAGGGTTAAGGATCGGCCCGTTGTCTGGTCGACCTCCGTGTTGATGTCTGTGAGGCCTTTCCAATTTTTTTTGAAGCTTTCACCAAAAACATCTTATTTCCAACGGGGGAGTTTTTTGAGTTATTGCATTATTCATCGATTAAATCAGACGCACGATATTGTCTGAGCAAATCATACTAGCTGTCAAGTCCATACTGATCAAGGGGGAGGGGTGTTGTTGTCACTGATGTATGCTTCGCATGTGCGTGAGTTATTCATTTATTTTTGTACCTTTTTGGCAGATGTGAGCACCATTTTGACACTGGACTTCACCTGAACCCGTTCACACATCGCCGTGTTTGATCTGTCTTTGAGGACCAAATGCCCGGGGACCTTATTGCGTCAAGATGAAGCCTGCCAGCTATCAAAGTATTGCCTCTTCTGTGATGAATCCAAATTTAAACTTGGGTCATTTACTGAGTACTCCTAATTTGATGCAATGTGAGAAATGCAGCTTTGCTACAACAGATCTCTCCACATTCAAGAAACATATTGCCCAAGAACATACTGAGTATTACTGCTTTTACTGTAACCGAGTGTCCTTGAGCGAAGCAGAGTTACAGACTCATATGAAAATACACACCGGAGCAAGTCCATTCAAGTGTCCTCATTGTGGACAGGTGTATATGAGGAGGATGTGCCTCATAAAGCACATTGATCGTCTTCACAGTAAAATACCTCAAGAACCACCCAAAAAGATATCGCATGTGTCAGTCTCAAGTGCCTCTCAAAGCTTACCCAGCACAGCGGATGGGTCGTCTCATCGTCCTGTTGTTCGTGTTACAGTTCCAACACCTTCTACTGCTGGAGTTGCACTGGATACTAATTTACAAAGACTAAAATCCTTGAGCGCCTATATGTCAAGTGCCAGTCACAGTAATACCGTACCTTTAAATGGACAAACTCAGCGCAATCGGGCGCTTACTGTTCCACTGCCAGAGGAAGTTTCCATCCCTGCTGGCTGTGTGGTTGAGGTTGCTGAGGTGAAGACTGTAGATGGGACAAAGGAGCTCCGACTAAGATTTGTTGCTCAAGAAAATGACTCTGGTACAACAAATGGAAGGACCACAGTTCCAGACACATCAAAAATACTTTTATCTCAAATTAAACGTCCAAATGCGGCCTCAGAATCAGGGACACGATTTGTGAATAAAAATAGTGTTACAAAAGAACGTCCGTCTCTGGTACCAGTAAATATTTCCAAATGTTTTCCGAATCAAGCGATAAAGGAACAACGCTTAAATTCAAAAAGACCATCTGATGTTATCACCTTGGATGCAGGTGTTCCAAATAAGATTTCAAGAAGTTTTTCAACTATTGGTGAATCCATGGTTGCAACTCAGAAGGAAGCTATCAGTCACAATATCCCGGCCACTGCCATGTCCTCTATGTTAGCCAGTAGGTTAACAGCAAACAACATGTTGACTGGTAATGCTCTAAAAGGTGTTGAGGAGAGAAGGACCCATGCTCCAGGGTTTCCCACTACTTCAGAAATCAAAAGGATGAACAATGCGCAGATAATGGCTCACATTGTATCGATGAACCGAGGCCCTACAGTTATGAAGGCAAAGGAAAATCCCATACCACAAACAAACAGAAATGAGTTGACAAAGGCTCAGCAGCAAAGCTTAAAAACGTTGCATCATCCTTTGAAGTCTTTGGTCGCTCCCCAAATTCGAGGTCCTAATGAATGCAAGGATAACTTTGTTCCTAATGTTCCAAAGTCTTTCATCCCAGAGCAAAACTCTTCACCAAAAGTTTCTACTGAAAAAGTATGTTTTTTAGCCGATACAAACGCCTCAAACTCGCACATGAAACAGTCAGCTTTGCCCCAAGAAGTGAAAACTGAAAAAAATGCGAATGCAGATGTTCGGGCTGAACGCGAAGGATTTCCAGTTATATATTCTGTGTATTCTTTGAGTCATCAACCAAATGAACCACAGGAGTCTACTCAGCCAATAGTGATGGCTGAATGGACCAACAGCACAGGGTGCGACAGCCCCAAGATCAAAAGTGTTCGCACAGGTCATCAAACGCCAACAGATTCAACACAAATTAACTTAACTTATGACACATTATCTAATAACATCTGTGAGTCTGTGAAGGTTGAAGATCAAGTGGTTACAACTGCAGTGACGCCTCAAAATATCCACCTGAGAATGGAAAAAACAACACCAATGAAAATGAATAGGTGTGTAATGGATCCTAAAGTTAACAAGTCATGCTCACCACCTTTGCAGGCTAATGTGACCAAAACATGTTCTTCTAATGTGACCAAAACATGTTCTTCACCTGTGTATCTTCATGTCAACAACAAAACAAATGTACCTCTTGTGCAGGTTAAAGAGAATATAACTAATGCACCTACTGTACATGTTAATGGTAATGATACAAGCGCACCTAATATACAGTTAAAGGCTAATAACGCAAGTGCACTTACTGCACATGCTAATGGTAATGACTCAAGTTCACCTACTCTACAGTTCAAGGCTAACAACACAAGTTCACCTTCTCTACAGTTCAAGGCCAACAACACAAGTTCACCTTCTCTACAGTTCAAGGCCAACAACACAAGTTCACCTTCTCTACAGTTCAAGGCCAACAACACAAGTTCACCTTCTCTACAGTTCAAGGCCAACAACACAAGTTCACCTTCTCTACAGTTCAAGGCCAACAACACAAGTTCACCTTCTCTACAGTTCAAGGCTAACAACTCAAGTTTACCTTCTGCACAGGTAAAGTCTAATAACACAAGTTCACCTACTCTACGTGTTAATGGTAATGACACAAGTGTCCCTACTGTACAGTTCAAGCCTAGTGACACTCCACTCAAAGTTAAAGTAAATAAAAAGAACATGCCACCTGTGCAGATTAAAGTAGATAAAACGCATGTGCAGCCTCAGCTTGTCAATAAAAAATGTGCACTGCAAGAGGATGCCACAATTGGCATAACAAATGCAGCCACCAAAAACAGAAAAAGCAGAAAAAATGTATCCAAGCAGATAAAAACGACAAAATCTACAGGACCTGTAAAAGCTTCTCCATCAATTTCACTTCCTCCTTTTGTGACTGAAATCTCCCTTCCAAAGCTTGATGCAAAAAGCCCTGTAACTGATGCGGCCAAAAGCCATGATGCTCTTGCAGCAAACGGGCTGGAACTCTCCTCAAAAATCCTCACCATTTCTCTAAAAAGAGTCAAAGTTGGGTTCTCAGGGAAAACCCTGAAAAAGTCAAAGATTGTTTCCAAGCTCAGACTTCCAAAGCCTCTGCTGCTCATGCCTCTGAGAAAGGACCAGGCGGTGAAGCAACCACGGATTGACCAACCTGTAGTGGTGCTGAATCTCGCCACCCCCTGTCTTCACATGGGAAAAGTACACGCAAAGACCCTCTGTAAAAATGCTGCTCCCCTCAGTCCCAAGTGCCAAATACTGAAAATGAGACTTGGCAAAGTGGTGGGGCAGAAGTACGAGGTGACAGGGTGCATCATAAAAACCATGTCTTAGGACTTGGATAGCGCCACACGTTTGTTTTTTTTCTCACATGAAACGGACAGTATCCAAAAATGGTGTTGATTCAAAACAATGACTGTGTTAAATCTGCTGATGGTTCCCATGGTCCACAGTATTGTTATATACTGCATTTGCATGTGTAATGTGGAAATGAGGCTTTATGCTGGTCAGTGCTGTATCAAGTTTGTGCCATAATCAAATATATGTTCTTTATCTTTTAACACTAACATTTTATCTTTTGTTTTACACCCAAAGTCCACTATAAAGACTAAAAACAGTTTGAATGAATAATGTTGTATTTACATTTATTTGAGTGCACTTTGACTGTATTAAAACTATTTGGTCAAACCTCCTTGTCAAAGTTGTATCTCAGAAGCTAAGCAGAACAGGCCCTGGTTCATACTGTGATGGGAGACCTCTGGGAATCCTATGTGCCACAGTGGGGCGGCTGTAAACTTGTTTGCCTATGTCCTTCGTCAATACTTACAGTCTATGGTCAAGAAAAAAACGATAACATTTACTGTATAAAAATGAATTATTAAGATTGTAACATGCATTAAATTATTAAGAAAAAGACAAGTTATTTCTGACTTGAAATGCTACTGCTCTTGAATTGAGATGTAACTGATGTGGTCCACTAATATAATTTTAAAACAAACCAAAGTTCAAACCCAGACATTAAAACTTAATACAAGCAATTTGTTACTTTATTTTCAGCCAATAGAAATAAGCATCAGGAAATTTCAGTTTTGTTATGTGTGTGTGAGTGAACTTAGAGTCTGGACTTGCCTGCTTGTACTGTTGCAGACTAATGTTTGACCACTTTTTAATGAGTTTTTCCTGCTTTATAGATATTTTTTATTTATTCAAAGCTTGTATATTTGCCACACTGTTCACATTAATCAGCTTTCCTTTTTAAGTGAAAGAAAAAGCACATTTCATGTATTCCTCTGCTAACTTGAGTGTTTTTTTTGGTTTGTTATGTATATATTTTGGATCTTACGGCATCAAATTGGAGGATTTTTAACAAGAAGTCTGTAGAGCTAAAGTCTCACGGAATTATCAGTAGCTATACGTAAAGAAATGTATGTGTCTGTCAGTATGTATATATTCTAAATAAATATTATTAGCTTAACAAGATGTAGGCCTTCTCCACACAAATACTATGTGATGTTTTACTTTTGGCCTTATTTATGTCAAATACTGTATATTTCATTCTCAAGTGTCACCATAGTTTAACATTCTTAAATTTTGATACATATTTTATGTTTCTATCTCTCAAAGCAGAGCAGCTCTTGAACTATTTACAAGTTTGTTTCTTTTCAGTCATTTCAAGGTTCACACAGAACATGTCATGCTTAATTTTCTATTCAATGTATTACTACTTTTTATTAAACAAGAACATTGTGTATTGTATTGTGTATGTTGCATTTCATTATACAAACAATGACACTGTCTCAGAAAGAGTAAAGCTGTTCAAACACACTATTTGAGTAAACATAAAAGCCACATGTCTTGGGGCCTAGAAATCATTACATTGTTAAAGTGTAATGTTTTCATGTTTTCTTTAGATTTTTTAACTCTATATTAATAGGTTTAGTTTAAATTTCATTACATTCTTTGATTCAATTTAAATGACTTTCATTCATTGCATATGTAGGTGAAATTCAGAATATGTAATATATAATACGTGTGAGACCAATATGAACACTCAGTTCATGCAAAGTGAAGTATGTGAAACCATTATTTGTCATATTGTTGATCACTGACTCAGAGCTTGTATGAATGTTAAAGATGGCCTGTAAGTCACAATCATCTAAATAAAGCCTTGGCATATGTCACTTTGCATGTAGTGAGTCCAACACATACATTGGTTTCACATTTTAAGTTCACTTTGGAACAATATTCCGATTCCCAGAGTTTTACCTGTAGGTTGTACTGAATTATTTGTTATCATTACTTTTTTAATTCATTTCTGTATACCCCGAAAGCAAAACAATAGTTTTCTCTGAGTACAAAGTTGTCAATTCGCAAACACAGATACACTACACAATAACATACATATAGGAGCTGTTGGCGGGTGGCCAATGGCAATATAATTAGACATAAGTTAACATTAGTTATAAAAGTTATTCATATTAGTACTTTTTTGGCTTATGTATTTGTGAAAGACTTCTTTTGTCTGTGAAGGGTGCTGTATGAATAATGTTTACTTCTGCTTTAACTTCCAGTTTAATGTTAATCATGTCAAATGACAAAACACACTTCATTCTCAGTTTAAATATTGTCAGTGGTCATTCTCTGTCACTGTAGAAGTCTGTCCACGTCTTCTCTGGTCACTGGGATGGTCAGGACACAGTTGTCTGGACTCCTGCTCCCGGGTGCTTGCTTGGCACAGATGAGGGCAATGGGGTAGATGGAGTGAAACTTGATGATACCAGACACAGAGTCAAACATCTGAAGCAAACACAAGACGTCAAATAACAGCGAAATCCCATTCACGCTGTTCTCTGACGTTCTCTCACTCACTTCATTATATCGTTGTCCTGTTCCTAAGGCAAACTTACAGAGAGACTCGATATAGCGTATTTTTACATTGTACACTTTCTTCTCATGATAAACAGACAAGACCAAGGGTTCGCTGCTGCTGCCGAGGGAGCAATCTCGTACTAAAAACGCCCCATCCTAAAATGAAGAGACATTTAAAAAACAAACAAAAAACACACTAGAGATATATTTTATATTCAGGATGACTTTGGCCTCCGTCTCTGGAACAGCCTGCCGGAGTCCTTTTACTCGAACATTTCAATGTTTTGCTATTTATTGTATTGTTTTAGTATCCCCAGTGTTTCCTCTGGAGGAGCCCTCTGCAATCAAGCTATTGGTAAACTACTGGTATTTTGTATTACCATTACATTAATCCCAAGTGTTTTAAGGTTTTTAATAACTTGTGTGATTGTAATTTCTATGTTTTAAATATTTCTTGTCATCTTAAATTAAATAGAATTTTAAAATTGTGTATTTTAATGTTTTTGTGGATTTATTCCTGATGTGATATGGGTTGTGAGGCGCTTTGTGTTGCCTTGTGTTGGAAAGGCACTCAACAAATAAAAGTTGATTGATTGATTGAATACATATTCTTTAATGGAACAGGTGGAGAGTAAAATACTTGAATACTGGACTAAACTAGGTCTTAAAAAGAATTGCACTACTTTCATTGTAGTTCTGCATAAAGATTAACCCAAAGAAAGACATAAATGTGGGATATACGACTCAATGAATAACTGCACTGCAGAGGAGAACCATAGTTTGAGAATCATTACTTTCCAACACTGAACACAGTTACTGTAATACATGAATATTCAGTAATTTATGTGTGCACCTACTTTATTGACGAGATGCAAGGCGTGCTCTGCATCTGTCCTGCTACACGACCCGATGTTCCAGCCATCGTCTTTATGGGTCTACAAGTTATACACACTCAACACACAACACACAATACAGTACAATAACAGCATGTTCCTTACTACCTGTGATTCTCCCATCGAAACAAAGTTATCTCTTGTGGGAGGATACTGATGGTGGTCGCCTTCAGTGACATCTGAATCTACATAATTTACATTTCAATTTTAACTTATGAAACAGGTAAAACACAAGTTATCATATGCGCTTACCAAGCTCCTCATTTGACCACCTGTTCAACAAGATGTAAAAGCAACATAAAATAGTCTACATGCATTATTTACTTGAATACAAGTTGCTTACCTTTTAGCAATGTGTTTAGCTTCCAAATCAAAAATGACTCTTGTCCTTTCGTTGTGTGGGTCTAAAAACATGTTTGTTTTTAGTGAATTACTGTATCTGTTAATGACTGTATATATTGTGCTGTTGATTAAACTTAAATAACTTCTCCATACCAAGACAGTTTGAACTGAATTCTGAAACCTGAAGGAAAACAAGTGATTTAAAATTATATTTAAGAAAGTAGTTGTTTTTTGCTGTGGGATCTTTTCTCACATGAGTTGTTGTGTTTTGTTGCCTGTGGTAAAAAAAAGAAGATACTTTCAGAGCCTAACAGAAACTACACTTTCATAAATACAGCATACAGTTAAGAATATTGTATAATAAGGATACATATAATAAATAGCATTGATCATATTTATAGTTGGTCTATCTGTTCATGTCATTACAGTGTTTTGTCATAATGTCAACCTACTTTGTACAGATTGTTTGGCATTGTAAGTCTATAATTCAAAACTCACAGCCTCCTGGGGCTCTCCTGCAGAACCATCTCATTGAGCTGCATCACCAGCTCTGAGGGGAAGTGTGGAGACGGGGAACATCTGGAACAAGAAGCTGCTTACATGTCATCAATGCAAACTCCCAAATCTCATTCGCGTGATGAGTAAGTACCTGCGTGATGGCTGTGATTGGACAAAACAGAAAAGATGTTTAAAAACAAGAATATGGAAAAAAAACAGTGTGTGTGTGTGCGTGCATGTGTGTGCATACAGTGCCTTGCGAAAGTATTCGGCCCCCTTGCACCTTTTGCCACATTTCAGGCTTCAAACATAAAGATATACAATTTTAATTTAATTTAATTTGTCATGAATCAACAACAAGTGGGACATAATCGTGAAGTGGAACGAAATTTATTGGATAATTAAAACTTTTTTAACAAATAAAAAACTGAAAAGTGGGGCGTGCAATATTATTCGGCCCCTTTACTTTCAGTGCAGCAAACTCACTCCAGAAGTTCAGTGAGGATCTTTGACTGATCCAATGTTGTCCTAAATGACTGATGATGATAAATAGAATGCACCTGTGTGTAATCAAGTCTCTGTATAAATGCACCTGCTCTTTGATAGTCAGGGTTCTGTTTAAAGCGCAGAGAGAACCATGAAGACAAAGGAACACACTAGGCAGGTCCGAGATACTGTTGTGGAGAAGTTTAAAGCCGGATTTGGATACAAAAAGATTTCCCAAGTTTTAAACATCTCAAGGAGCACTGTGCAAGCAATTATATTGAAATGGAAGGAGTATCAGACCACTGCAAATCTACCAAGACCCGGCCGTCCCTCCAAACTTTCATTTCAAACAAGGAGAAGACTGATCAGAGATGCAGCCAAGAGGCCCATGATCACTCTGGAGAAACTGCAGATAACTACAGCTGAGGTGGCCTTTATGGAAGAGTGGCAAGAAGAAAGCCATTTCTCAAAGATATCCATAAAAAGTCTTGTTTAAAGTTTGCCACAAGCCACCTGGGAGACACACCAAACATGTGGAAGAAGGTGCTCTGGTCAGATGAAACCAAAATCGAACTTTTTGGCCACAATGCAAAACGATATGTTTGGCGTAAAAGCAGCACAGCTCATCACCCTGAACACACCATCCCCACGGTCAAACATGGTGGTGGCAGCATCATGCTTTGGGCCTGCTTTTCTTCAGCAGGGACAGGGAAGATGGCTAAAATTGATAGGAAGATGGATGGAACCAAATACAGGACCATTCTGGAAGAAAACCTGTTGGAGTCTGCAAAAGACCTGAGACTGGGACGGAGATTTATCTTCCAACAGGACAATGATCCAAAACATAAAGCCAAATCTACAATGGAATGGTTCACAAATACGTATCCAGGTGTTAGAATGGCCAAGTCAAAGTCCAGACCTGAAACCAATCGAGAATCTGTGGAAAGAGCTGAAGACAAAAAGCTCACAAACGCTCTCCATCCAACCTCACTGAGCTCGAGCTGTTTTGCAAGGAAGAGTGGGCAGAGAAAACCAGTCTCTCGATGTGCAAAACTGATAGAGACATACCCCAAGCGACTTGCAGCTGTAATTGCAGCAAAAGGTGGCGCTACAAAGTATTAGCGCAAGGGGGCCGAATAATATTGCACGCCCCACTTTTCAGTTTTTTATTTGTTAAAAACGTTTAAATTATCCAATAAATTTTGTTCCACTTCACGATTGTGTCCCACTTGTTGTTGATTCTTGACAAAAAAATATTTTTTTATATCTTTATGTTTGAAGCCTGAAATGTGGCGAAATGTTGAAAGGTTCAAGGGGGCCGAATATTTTCGCAAGGCACTGTAAGTGCGTGTGAGTGTGAGTGTGCGTGCGTGCATGTACGTGTGTGGTTACCGGGCCTGCGTGCTGATTCATCGTCAGTGAAATGTTAGCTGCAAAATACATACTAGTCAACAGGACTTAAAACATGGGGACAATAAACTATTGTATGAATATACCTGCTGAGTGCTTCTTTCTTCCTGGCTTCAGAGCTCTGTTGATGATAGGAGCTGAGACAAGAAACAAAATTTATGATTTGTACAGATTTGAACAGATTTGAACTTAAAGTTTTCCATAACAATTTCCACTTAATGAATTAATTTATTAATTTCTAAATGACCCATTACATTTCAATTGTGTAAGAAAATAAGTCTTTAGGCATGTCTTACTGTAGTTTTATGCCTTGGTTAGTGTTAATACTTAAAATGTTGGGTCCAATTGAAAAAAAATTATATATATATAGCCAAATAGCCCATTGCAATTTACATTGATCAAATTTGTTTTATTTTCTTTTCACTTGAAAATATTTTCTTTGTACCATTGTATCTGAGTAGACTTACTTTTGCCAAGCAATAAATGTTACAACTAGGGCTGTCAAAATTATTGCGTTAACGCACGTTAATTAATTTTTTTCATTAATCGCGTTAAAAAAATTAACGCATTTTACGCATGCCCATGAGTCCCATAATAACACTCAGAATGCCGCGGACACATGCGTGTGTAAGATGGGTACAGAGCAGGTAAGCCCTCTGGGAATACACACGTGACCGCGGGGCACTTGTTGTTTCCTGTATGAACTCTGCATGATGAGCTGCGGGCGCGACAGCGCTCTGGACAGCAGGTCCCACCTCCAGCGGCTGTGATCACGGCGAACGGCGCTGCGTAACGTGATCATATCCAAGACCACGCACAGAACTATTACAGAACTATTCTCTAGTGTGCGTACGTGTCTTTGCGTAACCGATGCACACAATATGTACAGCGCTGAAGCTGGACTGCGGAGCCTCAGTCTCCTCCGTGTCTTCTCCCGAAGCGCACTCGCTAAATTAAAGCTGAGGTACCTAATTTTCCTTTCGACCATCAGTTCATGTTAGTTGTGCCAAAAAAAGTACAGATTTAATGACATTCTGCATTTCAAACTATTTTGAAATGTCCCTCATCTGTAACAAATAATGGTTTTGGTCTGAGTCTAGACAGAAAGACAGAATGTTAATAATGTTAATTCCATTTTATATGGATTTATTGTTATATCAAACAAATACAGTACATATGTTCACTAAGCTGTCATTTATCTTTCCATTCAAACAACCATTTACAGAAAAATATGGCATAATTTTGCCAATAGTTTGAAATGCGATTAATTACGATTAATTCATTTTTAAGCTGTAATTAACTTGATTAAAAATAATAATTGTTTGACAGCCCTTACAACGCATTTCAAACTCATTCAACCATTTGTAATGTGTATTCTATCACAACAGATACTGTATACCCACTGTATCATAAAAGTTAAACATTGTGTAACAATGAAATACACAAGTATTATTGTGTATTTCTCATTCACAAGTTGTTAATTGCTTTGGTATACGTTCCCATCCTTCTGAAAGCTGTGGATAGATTAATGATGGAGAAGACAGCCCAAAATAATGTAAATTCAACAAGGTCGGGCTTAGGCTTAAAGTGGATCTTGATGTTGATTCCTGATTGTGGCGTGTATGTAATTTTGTTTACCAGGCTTTGTGCTAGTTTTTCTTGGAGGATACGTGGTGTGGTTTGTTGAATTATTCTGTAGGAGGAGATTAATGTTAGACGAGGCCAGATTAAAAGTCTCATTGGTGCTTTCTTACAGTGGTCAGGTCAGATGAGAGACTTTGAGCTGACGAAGACCTCGGGAGATCCCTGTCTGAAGAGAACAGGAAGGCCCATTATTTGTAATGACAAAAAATTATAAGATTGCAGATACAAGCACTAGAAATTAGTGTCTTCAGTCAAACAGAAGGAACTCAGAGTAGATCCGCTGCTCCTCTACGTCAAAAAGTCTACATGGGGACCTCTCTAATCGACTCCTGATGCAACTATATTCTAATCAATGTGGTGGGTCAATTTGACCCGAGGATAGTCAGGTCAGTGCACAGCTCATTCAGATGCATCTTTTGTCTTTCTCAGCCTGATGGAGCATAATGTAAAGATCAAACTCCTCCACATTCAGCCAAGGTCTAGACTCTAGATTCTACCCCCTTAATAACTGTCTTTTACTCTACACAGTTGGATCATTTGAAACTAAAAGTTTAAAAGTATTTAAGTCTACTAACTTTAGTTCTCCTCCCAGGTCTCTGCACTGGCTTCCTGTGGCTCAGAGAGCAGCTCTGATTGTGTACAAGCCAGAGTTAGTGCCAGTGTTGAGTAAGTTATGGTCAAGGTCAAGTTTATTTATATAGCACATTTTAAAAACAGACAGGACTGTCACAAAGTGCTTACCAGACATTGTAAAAATACAACACACAAATAACATTCAGCATAAAAATAAAATGCAGGACACTATCATAAATGTTGCAACATTGCTTGTGTTAAAAAGCCAAAGCAAAGAAATGTGTCTTTAGCTGCGATTTAAGACTCTCCACAGAGGAGGCAGCTCTGATGGAATAAGGGAGAGCGTTCCAGAGTTTAGGCCCTGCCACAGCAAAGGCTCGGTCTCCTCTGGTTATGGTAAGTTATGGTACTTTTACCAATTAAATTTTCTTTACTTAAACAATCGGGGCCTTTGTGAAAAAGGTGTTTGTTGTAGATTTGTTGTTGACAAAACTCTATTCAGTTATTATGATTATGGTCCCAGCTGGATTCGTCTGCATATCTGGCCAGATTTTTTACATACTGCCCCTTTAAAAAAGTAAAATAATAATAATTTTTTAAAAAGTTACATAAGTCTCATTAGCCTTAACAAATTCCCTGTCTATTTACAGTAGTAGAATACAAATGGCCCCATTAAAATACACAAGGAAACACTGTCTGTGGATTTTCCCCTCAAGCAACATGCTCCTTGTTTAAACACGTTTTTGAGTAACTGTAATCTAGTCCATGGGTTCCTCTACTCTGAGGAGCCCTTGGACTGGCACCAGCTTCTTGCTGTGACTTTATTAAGCATAGGGACTGGCTTCCTGCTGGGACTATGAGGAGAGCAGGGACTGGCCTCCTGGAGTCAGGACTAAACATGGGGAGGTTTCAAAATTTAATATTTCTTTTACAATTTTCTTAAAATTGGAAGAATGGCCTTCCTCCCCGTCAACAACAAAAAAACCTTCTCCAGGCACGCTTTGCAGATTTGCAGCAGCTTTATTGCCGATTATGCAGAAGTACCACTGCTGGACTTTGTTGAGTTACACATAGTTTTCCACTTGCTCACCAGAGAGCAGAGTTGTCTCACTTCCAAAATTTACTTTGAACTTATTTGAAAATTGTGAATTCTAATAGCTGGTACTATCAAGTGTAACTGTCTCTGTGGATGCACGCTCAAAAATAATGGAGAACTGTCCAAGGTTGAGCGTGGTGCGTTTGAAGTGAAATACCAAGCGTGGTGCGGTACAAAGCACTTGTGTTTCACAGCAAGAAGGTCCTGGGTTCAATTTCACCTATGTAGAGCTCCAAGAACATGTTTCATGGGGAGGTTTGACTCAAACAGCAGGAAAAGAGGGCGACTGTTAATGGAATACGCTCGACCATAACATTGTTTGGAAAAATAGTAGGCAAATTAAGTTCATTCAAATCATTCATAGTCATCAGTGGAAATATTGCAAATATGCAAGAATATATTGACTGTGAAGGTTTAAAAAAATAAATCAGGATAATATATTACTACCCCATATGATAATTTCCCCCAAATATCAGATTTTTACTGACACCAAAACTGAAATTTTGAGGGTTAAAACTGTTCAGCGCCAACAGGAACAAAATGTATAGCTGAAAGATATAATCTGCAAAATTATTACCTATATTGAATGCTAATCAAATGTGTAGGACTCAAAATTACTTTAGAGCCATTACAAGTAACAGGAAGTCACAAACCAGGACAGCTTTGACTCATGGTGCAAACAAGTCAAAAATAGATATAAAAGGCATGCAAAAAAAAGTAATCATCATACAAATATTTTCGTAAAATGTCTACTTTATACAAGTGCATGCTAAGTACACACAACAGACATTTAACAGTGCAGATTTAAGTGACAGTGGTATCCAATCGATGCTCAAAATGGCAAAATCAGAAGAACAAACACACACAATATCCATGATCGACATAATACCCACAACTGTAACTATAACTTGTTAAAAGAAGTGTACAGAGTTACCAGCATACTCCCGTTCATGGTGAGTTGGCCTGGCAGGCTGTAGGTGCACATTGTGAACAGGCTCCTGGTCGTCCACAGTATCATAGTACGGCTCCAAAGGGTATGTTTGATTTCCAGATCTTTGCTTCTGTCTCCATTGAGTCCTGTTGACGTCCTATAGCAGCAATGCAGTATAAATACAGGCTACTTTTTTCCGGCTGCAGAGAATATTCAAGTAGTGATCACAGAAAATAATTCTGTGAAAAGGGTCAACTGAATATAATTATTGTTGTATATGCTCTGGAAATAATGAAAAACACTATTTGTATTAACAGGACTGAAAATGTGCCTTTGGCCGTAGCACATCCCCGTGTGCACTGTAGAGAAGATATCTTATTACTGGTAAATTCAACTTTTCAAACCTATGCCGTATGTTTTTTTCCTGACCTATGACTTTATTTCTATATAAAATACTTAAAATGTAAAGCACTTTCTTATTGCATGTTTAGAAATGATGCTGTCATGTCTTACCTTTCCAAGTTCGGACTTTGGCATCGGTAGTGCTTTAGTCTAAAAAAAATATCAGCTTCTTTGACTCAAGCTGCTTGCTGCTTTCACTCAGTGACTTCCTGTCAGCGGTGACGAGGTGACCTAGGTGTGACGCTTGAGAAGATGATGACTTTAAAGACGTCACATTTCAGACTCTCACATCAAAAGATGTCCAGATTCTTGTGCACTATCTTCTGGGACTCAATGGGTCAGAAGGAAGATGGGGGCTAGTGTGACTACCTGTTACCTTTGTAAAGTGTCTTTGAGCAGTTCAAGTGTAAGTAAACACACATTGGTTTCACAGGAAGAGCAGATATGCAGCTGAAGCGAAAAACCACAAAGGACATGGCCTTTGAGGTTAGACCTGGAGGCCCGATGTTGGAGGTAAAAGCGCAAGTCCAAAAGTATTTCAGTTAAAGTTCAGAAAAGTAATACCCCAATTTAAAACTGAACAAGTTCAATGCTTTTATACTTCAGTATTGTAAGTATAGCAATATGTTATTCAACTAGAAAAACATTTGTTTTATAGATTTACAGATTAACCTTTTAATGTTCACTCGTTGAAGAAAGCAATGATTATTTTTTAAATTAGTTTCTAAGTTGAAGGAGCACTAATAACAAATTTTGTTTTTATTATAGGCCTTTACCAAATGGTTGAGCCAGTGTTTGATGGTAAAAGTGCCAAAAACCAAGTGAGATGCCCCAATGGGGTATATCTCAGTTCCAATACTCAAAAAGTGCTCTACCAAGTGAGAGGTGAGAAGTAGAATGCATGCTGCCTGTAGGTAAGACACTTTAAATAGCTTTGGGTGTCATGAAAGGCACTATGTAAACATCATAAATGGGGAGAGGAGTAGAAAGTAAAGAAACTGCTTTGTGAGGACTTTCTACCATGTTTCATATTGAAGTATTATGAACATTAAGAAGAGATTATTGAGGGAACTACCCTGAATTTCACTTTACCACACCTAATTATCATTAATGTGCAAGCCTTAATTTTGTTCAGAAAAATCTACAAAAGGAATATCTAAACTCATCTTAAATAGAAGTAAATTCATACAGTCTAAAACAGGCACAAATGGTAAAAAGTCAATATGGAAGCCTAAGGTTTGAGTAAATAAAAACAAAAGGAGCAGTTATACATTTTGTTTTATATTTATTATTATTGTAGCCAGTGCAATTCAACAAAGCGAACATTAGGTGTATTTTAGCCACGTGTTCTTACCCTTGAACTGCCAATTTTTTTGGCTGTAGGCTAGGAAATCAAAACTGGAATGATGCTGTGTGTTCTGCCACTTCATTATACTCTTATCCAAAAGTGCTGTTGTTCCAGGCCACATTAGCTGGGTCCAAGTCAACAAAATTTATATAAATCCTAGACAAAAAGGGTGAAATCAGGAGGTTAGTTTGATGGATTATTTCAAAAATGTATTAGTTTTAAAATGTGCAACCTCACCTGTCTGCAGAGATGCCCAGGTGCTTGCTGAGCAGCCCACATAGAAGTTTAGAGTATTGCTTGTTTTGAGCACCATTGATTTTCCCAATGCTGTGGAGTGAGCAGAGTGCACAGGGGTCTCCTTTTTTGCCAAACATCATCATTTGGTCAGGGTTCACTTGGACAGCAATGTACTGCAAGGAAAACACGACAATTTAGAATAAACATAATCTCCACTAGAGTAATGGACTAAAATGAATAAATATATAAAAATTACTAAAATACTATATCCTGCTGGAGCATCGAGACAAGACTAAATAAACCTAATACGACTAAATAAAAGTGTGTAATGATTGAACGTTAGCCTATGTAGCCATACCTGCAGAGGTTTGCCCATGGCTTTGGCCAGCTCCTCCGACGCTTCTGACAGGAATGCATCAGGCACCTCCGCTTTGGAAACATTTGTGTTGACGACAAACATCGGCATGATTCCTGCTTTTGGAGACTAGTCTGAGTCTGAAAATGTGCGCAGAGACGACAACAGAACACACGCTGGGCAAAATCTGCTTCTACTGTCAAATGGCAGACGTTACGCAACCAAGGCGCTGTCCTGCCCCCTGCTGTCCACTAAATGCCTAGCAGGGAACAACATATTGGCCAAATCCTTTTACAGTATTTTATACTTATACAATGTCCAATTTCAGCGACAACGACATGTAGACCGTTCCCGAAAATAAACGAATAATGTTTGACCAAAACAATGGTGCAATTTTTGTCGTTGTGAGGACTTTAATCTACATATTCAGTACAAACCTTCAGGGGATGAGTGAGGATTATGAATATTATTATTATGATGATGATTAATATTATTATTATCATTATTATAAAGAAATACACCGGGCACACTGGCGGAAGCTTTCTCCAAATCAGTGGCAAAAAGTGTGGGAGAAAGAGAAAATGGGGAGGCATTATTTTAATTCCTCTGGTGCAAAATATTAGACCTGTGTGGATATCTTGCCGAGCAAATCAGGTAAAGATTGTTAGATTGAGACTGGGGCATTGCGGGGTAGCAGCATATTTCAAGATCAATGGCAAGCATCGTGATGGATTATGTCAGTGTGTTCCACCTGAAACAGTGCCTCATGTGTTATTGTTTTGTGATTTATACTCGACAGAAAGACAGATTTTGCACAAGCAGCTGTCAGATCTTGGTTTAACAGTATTTTCAATCAAATCTAAATTTTCCTTGGGAAAGAACTTGCGTTTGATCGACAAAGCAGTTGCAGCCTTCCTTCTCTCCACTAATTTGTATCAACGAGTGTAAAAATGTTAGAATAATTTGGACAATTCCAAACACATTTTTATAACTAATAAGGTAAAGGAAGTTTCATTTAAAATTATTCATAAATATTACCCAGCAAATCACTATATGACAAAATTTAAAAGAGACATTGATGTGAAATGTAGCTTTTGTGAAAACCACCCGGAGACTGTTCAGCACATGTTTTGGATCTGCTCTCACAGCACTTCATTCTGGAAGGACTTCAGTAGATTCATCATTGATCATATTTATAAAGACTTTTCTTTAAAATGGGAAAATGTGATCTTTTGGTTTTTTTAGAAGGCATAAAAAGGATGTTTTGTCATTATAAATGTATTGATTATTCAGGCCAAATATTTCATTCATAAATGTAAATATAGCAAGCAGAAGCCTGCCTTTAGACATTGCTTCAATGATTTTGTGTTGTATATCAAATTAATAAGTGGCATAACTAACAAAAAAGCTGTAAGGAATCAATTACATGATTATTATTATTATTTTTTTCGCTTTAACCCTCTGGCTATCTGATTGTTAATTTGTATGCATGTTGTATACCTCCACTCTTGAAGAAGTAAATTCATTAATACAAAACAAAAAGAGTGTAATAATGTGATATCAACCTGAACGGAAGAGGGCAGCATTACAGTTACATAGTGTATAGCCTGCCGGAAACAAATAAAGAAGAAGAAGAAAAAGCTTTCTCCAAACCAGTAGGTGGCGTTCTGCACCTGACAAGCTGAGTGCAACAGTCGCCATCATGAAAGTGCAGTAGAAGAAGAAGAGGCGCTGAGGAGGAGGAAAACACTGGAGGAGCTGTGGAGGGAGAGCTGAGAGCGGAGAAGTTTCCATTGTCGAGGGGACTTACCGCTTTATCGCAGCCTGCAGGCTGTTTCCAAGTCTTTGATCGTCTCTTGCGTGGATACTGTGTAAGTGCACCTTTCATGTGTCCGTTTAAAGTGTGAACTATAGTGTTAGCTCGGCAGCTAGCTCGACCACTTCCCCGTTTGTCTCGTCTCCCACTTTCCTCACGATCAATACATGTTTCTTACTTTGTAGCCAAGGCACGCTTAATGTTGATCCACAAGAATAGCACATGTTTTTGTTAAGCATTTATCGCATCTATTCAACGAAACTAGCCAAACAGTGGCCTTTTCTTGTTATACTATGATTATTAGCCTTAGTTGCCTTGGAAAATAAATTGATGCCTTAAGGAGTGTTAATAACTCCTATAATTATAAAGCCTACATTCCCATCGGCCTGCTTGTATTTATTGTTGAAAAGAACGTGGTCACAGGCTTACAAATTGAACTAGTTTCATTGTGTTGATTGTGTGTTTTCAGGTCTATCTTTCTAAAGCTGTAATGAAGATGATGGAGGAATCAGTGACCACATTTGAGACCCATCTTACTGTGGTGATGGACAGTCTCATCAGGGCGTCTGTGTGTGAAATCACCAAGCTGTTTCAGGATACAGTGAATGGATATTTGGTGGAGCTATCTCTAAACAGGAGTGAGAATGAGGCCCTAAAATTCAGATTGAAAATGACAGAAAACAAACTAAGGAATGAGCGGAAATATGGCATGAGCTGGGCTGCCCATCGCCGCACCTCTGGCATTGCATCTGAGGGAGCTGCAAGTCGACAAAAACGCAAAGCTGATCTAGTTAGTAAGTATTTCTGATGTGAATGGTAATAAGTAATTGCAATAGAGTCGCGAATGCGCAAATACTGCAATTTTCCCACATTGTACAAATCTGGTTCTCTGTGTTTAGAGATCTAAAACAAGCATATAAAAATCAGGGTCTGAATAAGTTACTATTTCTCTTAATTATTCTACTGACTTATCTGCTAAAGGTGACTTGGTTTTAAGGACATTGAGCTTTTATGTGAGAATTGGTTTTTCATTTCATTTAAACAGTTGAAAATATGGTCAAAGAGATTCAGCTTCAAACATTTTTCAAGTTTGAGTTTACCATCATTTTTTAATTCTTGAGCACTTTGAACAATATCCTCGCTTACTTACAGAAATCACAAATGAAATCCTAATTAGATATTACTGTAAAATCGTGCAGCCCTAACTAACTGGTAATAAATGGCTAATAAGTAGGTAAACATTGCTAATTCAATCATAGCCTGAATGTTGAAAGTAGATTGATATGGTTTCCGTGTACATTTCAGTTCAACTATGCATTTTTAAGTACATGTTTTGATTTTCTTTTTGTATGAATTTTGTTGGACGCCATTTTTCTCCTCCTCATTTTGCTCCCTCTGTCCTTGGCCTCCCGCCGCATCAGTGCGTCGACTCCTCTGGGCCCTCCCCCATCTCCTCCCTCCCTTCCTGCTCAGGCTCCTCTCCCTCCCCCGCACCCTCCCACCCTTCTGCTCCTTCTCTCTAATCTCCTCCCAATCACGTTGCACACTGCTCCTACTCCTCGCAGCTCCATGAAATGGCTGCATCTGAATTCTGTAAAAAATACCCTCTGCATTGTGCTTTAAAACATAACTTTCATGAGACAGGGCAGCTCCAGGTTTGGCCAAGTTAAATTGAACACCTTTTACAGATGTTTCTACTGCTATTTATACCACAAAATTAGAAGTGCAAGGAAGGATAAATAACGAGGTGTTTTTGCTTCCATATTTTTATCCATGGAGCATTTTGATCCATGGAGCATTTTGGGTCCTTTAAAAAAAAAAAAGGAATGACATTAGTCTCCTGATCTAGAAATATGGTAGCATTCATGTAACCAACTCAAACAGTGACATTAAAAGACTGACATTCTAGCCTTTGCAAATATTCCACACCCTTTTTCTGTTCCATGTTAGCTGCAGCCTTACTCTATACTAGAAATGTTGGATATTATTTTGATAATTAATCTAGCATTTTTTAAATCTATTAGTTTAGAATGCAAATGCCATTTCATCTGTTTGACCCACATATGGCTGAAGTGAAGCCACCTGATATACAGAAAAACAAAACATTTACCCTATTATTTTATGATGTATTTGCTTCAGTGTTGAGCCTAAAAACCACAAATTTCAGCACACTGTTTTGGTGTCTTAAAATTTGATTTTCATTTAAAACTTAAATAATTGTTGACTGTGTGGTAAAGAGACCAAACTTGTGATGATGATATACATATCTTCATATCTTGTATATAGCTAGTTAACGTTACTGAAACTTTAAACTGTTTTGTACCTTACATTTTCTGGCTCAATCACATTTAAAAATCCTAATTTTCATTCCAAATGCAAATAAATGCAGAAATAGAACTCCATGTAATGTCTTAATTTACACATTTAACATCGTCCTGACAATACATTAACACAAACAATAATACTTATAATACAATATAATTACTTTTTACATATATTTTTGTAATAATGGAATATTTTGTCCTATTTGTTTCTGGTGTTAGTGCTTATCAGAAGACATTGACTTTTCACCATCAAGTCTCCCCTCTTTTATCTTCTCCATAGGAGGCAAGTCAAGAAAAGGCGTTGCAGCAGCCTATGGAAAAGACTGGCCTGGAGGTGTGTGGGAGGCAGGCACCAGTGGGGGAGGAAGCGGGGGTGCAGTGGTGAGAGCAGGGAACGAGGCCAGGGAGATGTTCCTTGTGCAGCTCCCTGGAGAGGAAGCAGCAGTAGAGGAGGAGGAGGAGGAAGAGGTGGAGGAGGAAGACGACGACGAAGGCAGAGAGGGGGAGGAGGCCGCCAACATGAAAGAGGAGGTGAGTGTGAGACAGGCGCCGGAGGAGGAGAACCTGCAAAGCAGCACTGCAGTAAAGAACATTCATTGAACATGCAGTATCTCTCAAATAGCAATGATACACTATACTAAGTCCAAATTAACTATTATATGTACGTGACATGAAATACAAATCTACTGTACTTACCAATGCCATACATATCAATCTCTGCATTGTTAAGGCTTCTATTGTAAACCTGATAAATGTCATCCCTCAGTTGGCTACACCAGAGGGGTTTCAGCCAGCCTCCATAAGGCTTATTAAAGAGGCTTTGAAGATGGACCCACCAAAACAAAACCACCACCATAACTTCTCCAAAAGTGAAGGTAAATTTGCATTTAATACATTAGAATAAGTAACACATTTCTAATGGCTTTTCTGTATTTTTAGAAGTGTCCAATAGACCAGTGGCATCCGACCGCTCAATGGGAGGCATGACTGCAGATGAGCTCAGAGGATTGGAGTCTGCTCTGAGAGCTGAGAAGAGTCGTGAACAGGCCACCATTAAACCTGCCCATCTGATTAGTCCTGAACCCAAAGCTGTACACTGCACCATTGCCCCCAAGTACATCGGGTTAGATGGCCTCGAGCAGGAGGAGGAGCTGGACCTGGACCCGCCCACTCTTCAGAGAGAGGACGAATTTGGGCAGATTCGGGTGAAGATGGAGCTTAGTGTGGCAGAGGCTGAAGAGGCTGAGGAGGGTGGCTCTGGGTGGGCTAGAAAGGCTGACTCTGCAGAGATTGTGGCTGAATGCAGTGAGAGTGAGATGGAGCAGTCAGAGCCGCCTCCACACCTCTCAGTCTCTGCCTGTGTGGGTGAATCAGAGAGTGCTGAAAGTGGAGCAGGAGATCTGCTTCACTTCTGTCCACAGTGTGGAGGTGGCTTTCACTCAGAAAATGAGCTGGATGAACACCCGTGTCCACTAGAAGGTGCTCCTTTAGAAAGCCCTTCGGATGGAAACTCCAGCTTTCATTGTATATCGTGTGGAAACTCATTTAACCATGCCTGGGCCCTAAAGACTCACGAGTGTCCCCAAGCCACGGAGCGGCCTCACGGCTGTGAGATCTGTGGAAAACGCTTCACACACTCACGCTCTCTGGAGCGCCACCACCTGGTGCACACTGGAGAGAGACCTCACCGCTGCCCTCAGTGCGGACGCAGCTTCAGCCGTTTGGGAAACCTGGAGCGTCATCAGCGTATCCACACCGGAGAGCGGCCATACGGCTGCGAAGCCTGTGGAAAGAAATTTAGTCGTGTGGAATATTTAAAAAGACATCAGCTAATCCACAGCAACGAGAGGTTGACTATCCAGTGCTCCACCTGTGGAAGGGGCTTTATCGACGTGGAGGAATTGAAAACCCATCAGTGTTTTTAGATTGGTGTAAACTCTAGTTGACTTGAATGTGATGTACATAACAATTTAAAGATGTTATTTAGTAGTCTCAAATTGGTTTCTTTGCTATTCTTGAGTCTTATCAAAATTACCCTTTTGTAGATTTTTTTTTAAAGTAGCATGTATGGTTCTGGTAAACAAATATTCAATAATTATTTACACTGTTAAGTCCAGATTGGTTATACTTGCCAAGTCCGTAAATGAAACTAGTTCTCATCCAAATGAGTGTCAGGTATGTGTTAATATTTTCGATTGCATTATTTGATATGCCTTTTTCCAAAAGCTGTATAATATGGACTAATAAAATATTGGTCAATCAATGCAAATACCATGTTTTGTAGTCTTTATTTTTGTTACATTACACATAATTCATGACAAACATGGAACAGTGACTTTTCTTTGGGTTCGTTTTAAAGCAAGTCTTTGACAGTAGATGTACACAGACACGGGATGGATGAAGATCACCAGCACAAGTATTGTGAGGCCAATGTTCACCTGCAAATAATGAGATCAGATAGATTACATTTTCACCTGAAGTGCCTGAAGTACTTACATATAAGGGGTCTCCCTTCAGGACATCCTCCACCAGGATGAAACACGGGTACTGCAGCAGAGACAGCAGTGCAGACAGACCTTTGATAAGCCCATACAGTTTCCCAAAGTGACATGATGGGAAACTGAAAAAAAGGGTATAAATCTTGATTATCTGAAGTGACTTTATGAAATACATTTTAAAAACTAATTTAATTTACATGAGTAACGTGTAAATGTAAAACACATGACAATACTTTCTGCCAAGGTTAAGTGAAGTCATACTGGGAGATTCCTCAAAATATTTTAACTACAGTTACTCTGAGCAGAATATCAAGTTCCTATAAAGAACATCCCAGAAAGACATGTTTTATTTTTCCTGAAATATATTTAATGACTCTGGGTAAACCACTTCCTGTCAATGATGGTGATTGCCTGCGAGTCTATCACCAAGTATGTTGAATGTCATATTAAACCATGTCTACCTTCAAAATAAAAAAAACCCAATGTTTTTAATAATATTGTATTTGGACATAGATGTTTTTGGCTTGTTAATTGGATGCTCGTTGTAGCCCATCTTGTGCAGACATTTGCTTAATTGGGACACGATGCCTTGAACAAAGATGTTCAAGGCAGTAGAAAGCCTACAGACAGGAATATTGTTATTTGTGGTAAATGTTTTCAATTTAAGTGGCCTACAGACATAATACCTGTAACTACAAAAGGGTGCATATGACAGTGTATGGATGAGACCAGGAAAGGGACTTTGAAATCCAAAAAATAAAATCGAAAGTTGCACTCTTAACTTTTTTACACAACACCCTCTCAAACTTCAAAAAATGCTCCAGAATAAAACTGCTTTACTGATACCAACCTCAGATTTCCTAAAATACATGGCTTTAATCCAAACAATGTGTTCTTATGAATGGAATAATTGCAAACATTGTTGCAATATTAAAAATCAGACCCCGTACATGTATTAAATACAATAAAAAAAAAGTCAAGCAATGCATTAATTGCAAAACGTTTGATTTTTAAAATATTGTACACACCAAAACGCACCAGATAAATTGAGGACCTTTATTTTACGTTTGGATCTTTTGGATAAACAAAGAATAACAAAGAATGCGCCATTCATGTGTAATTTTTGACACACTGCCATCTGGTGTTTTATTGTAGTCACCAGTCTCAACTGAAGTTTACCTCACACACTTTGAGAAGCCGTGTTTGCTCTGATAGTGGCCATATATTCATGCGAAAGCCTGACCCAGTCAAGGCAAGGCAAGGTTTGGTTAATACGGTGGGAGGCAGTGAGGCAGCTGAAGCTGTCGTTCTGTTCTTAGACACTTAACACAAATTGCCATGGTGTGTCACTTGGTAACTAAGGTACCAAGCATGGTATTTATGACAATCCCATCACCAAAGTGGACCTCTTTTACAGACTTCTAATACTGCCTTGAGGTTCAGGAAGTATTCCTCTCATCCGGTTTCTACAACAACAATAAAAGATTTGATAATTGAAACGTTTACTCACATGACTTGGATGAAGGCCGCATCACTGCCCGTGTAAAAGGCTCGGTTTAAGACCTGCAGAAAGAAGGTGAAGTACTGGAGCGGCAGGACAGGGATCATGGCACAGACCGAGAACAGGACACACAGGAGAGAGGTCAGTGTGAGAGACAGCATCGCAGCCCGCAGGTCTGCCTCATGCTCTTCAAGACCTACAAAAAACATAGTAAATGACTTTGACCTCAAGCTCATGGATAAACAAGGTTACATTACCCCTAGATTTGAGCTTGGCCCGGTGTTTGTCCATGATGAGACCATTCCAGGGCGCACACAGGACACCACACAACTGGGTCACAGCAAATGTGTTGCTGTATTGGCTCACTGTGACAAGAGAAAAGTAAAGAGCAGCATAAAAGGTAAAAGACGTTTAAAGACTCTTCTTCATACCCACGGCCTGGTCCGCTCCAGTGAGCCTCTGAAGCATTGGGTTTAGTGTGCCAATGAACAGGTAATGCCTCAGCTGTATCACTGCCAACCAGAGCACATGCCAGAAGAAGAAACTGGACTGCAGACACTCTTGGAAACTCATATCTGAAAAATACAGATCTTCAACCATGGAAAATATCTGGAAGATGAAATGTTTGGTTTTCTTGAGCACACCTTCATTTAAGCATGTGTCGTTCACTGCAGGAGTTTCATTTGCTGTTGAGTGGGAATTATTGTTTGATTCCAAGTGTCCCACAACTACATTGTTTGCTTTACAGGTTATCCTAATGAAAGAAACAAGACCACATAAAAAAAGTTAGCCACATTGCCCTCCCCCGCCCTCCCATTGTTGTCTCTTTTCGAATGTCATTTTTTTCTTTAACAACTGATTTAATGGTTTTGCTCTAAGATTGATCAAGAAATGACTCGCCTATCCCTCCCAACAAGAAGGTCAGGGTTCAGTACCCGACCGGACCGGGCCTTTCTGTCTGGTGTTTGTATGTTTCTCCCCATGTCAGAATGGGTTTTGATCCCAGGACATTCTAGTTGAGAGGGTTACTATAAGAGGCTGCTCTACTGTGTTTATAAAGGATGGTGTAAAATCATGATCAGTGATATTTCCTCACCCATAGGTGTAGTGTTCTGGCAGCGGATAGGGGATTCGGTTCAGTGGGAGCAGGAAGAACGTCCTGAGCACCAGAAAGATGCTGCAGGTTGACAGGAACAGAAAGGAGTTGTGTAGAGAGACACCAGCTTCATGTAGCAACTACAACAATAACAACAAAGCAAAATGAGCAAACAACATGCATCAGTACGACCTGATCATTACCTTAATGATCAGGAAGAGTAACGAAGAGGACCCAAAAGCTCCAGTGTAGACTGTGATGACTGTGGAGCGGCGCGCCCCAAACAGGTTCCCCACCTTTACAACACACACCATCACTACACACTCTTAGCACCAACAAGTTCTTGCACATTATACATTTTTACAGCTCACCTGCATGTTGGTCATGAGGTACATCCTGCCACCGACCCCCATCAGCGACAGAGCAGGGAAAATCAGCACCGACAGCCCTGAGAGACAAGGAAAACTTATTTGTGCCACTTATGCGTGATTAGTCTGCATGAAGACTCATTGTACCTGGTGTTGAGAACGCCACCATTAACGTCCCCACAGTGAAGATGCATCTAAAGAGAAGGATTATTTTGCGTCTATAATATTGAAAATTCTTTATTGTTTAGCAATGTGCATCTCTTCGGTTAACTTGAAAGATAAGATGATTTTCCCAAATTTTAGGAAAGAACCTCTCCACCTTTTAAATAAAACTGTCTGGTCTTATTTGACAAGCACATATCACCAGAATGATTGACATATGAGAGGACCAATAGTCTTGATGATCCACCTGGAAGTAGAAAATCCTATATACCTTTAAATCATAATAAAGAACAGGGGCTTATACCACAGAGAAGAATCAGGGGTAGATGGGAGTCAGGTGGCTGGTTTTATCCCTTACAAAAATCTAGTTTCCTAATGTACGCGAAAGGACTTACATTGCACAGAGCCGAGCGATGGCTGTCCCCAACCAGTCAAAGATGAACCCACTGGGAAAGGACAGAAAGTTTGATGCAAAGGATGTGATGGTGAACACAAGAGAAAAGCTCTCATCTTGATCACTGCACTCTGCCAGAAACAAAAGAATGAATAATAGACCATTTAAGTGGGAATATATTGAATAATAGCAAACATACCCAGTGTGTGTGTAGTGTTGAGTCCAGTGAAGCTGCTGTAGAGTCTCTGACTGATGTTGGCAGTACTGTTTGGTGCTGAGGCTCTGACTGCTGTAGAGTTAAAACATAATGCACTGAAATATCCTTCGCTCCGGAGGACAATAACGAGAGAGGCCCATCCGAACACGGCTCCGGCGAAGCAGAGACACTCCAGCAGGCCAGAGCTAAAGGTCAGCCACCTGCGCACACCTGGTCTCCCATCACACGGCATGGCCAGGGGAGGACTGAGGCACCACAACACTGGTCTCAAAGCTCTCGCTCAAGCAGCTATTTACAAATGCATTTTGTGGTGTTACCTGATTAAAAAGTAGGACTTGCTTCATATAAATGTACATGCAGTGCTCAAATCTAAAACTCAAGTTATGGCAATTGTGCCATTAATTAAAATACAAATAATTTATTTTCCAAAACATCTATCTTGTTGCTTTGTCCTAAAAGCAGCACTCAGACTGCCTGATTGGGGTCACCTGTGCATAACAGCCACGCCCTCTTACAGACCTTCAAACAAACCCAACATGCAATTCCATAGAGAATAGATTTTTAAAAAGACAGAATAGAAAGTATAACAATATACAATGATTGCTTTATACAGTATGTCTGATCACAATTGAACTATTAAGTGAATATAAAACATAAAAAACATGAAAAAAAATGTTTTGAAGCTGAAAATCTGTTTATTTGTGCTCTTTTATAAATCAACAATGTCAATCATAATTACAGGCAAATCATGCCTGAGAAGAAGTAGGAAGTGTGGTTCATTTTTATTAATTATATCTTATTTATAGGCCAGGAGCCTACACCCACCCACTTAAATCCAAAATGCAGATTTTTGTTATGCTGAAAATGTAGTTCAGACAAAACAACAGTACAATGGATCATTCCTGAATAACTAAAGGACGACTACATGTTTCCAAACTTGGAATATGGCCAATGCAAGTCAAGTTTATTTGTATAGCACGCAACAAGAAAATAAACTCTAAAGTTATACAGGGCATGGAATCATAAATAATTACACTACATTAAAAGGAGTCCTTCATTCTTACGCACAGCTGCACAGTCTCCCCATGTTTAGTCCTGACTCTGTGTACCAGCAGGAGGCCAGTCCTAATAGTGACCAAAGTCCATGGCAAAAATAAAAACTATGACAAAACACTAATCAATGTGTGCAATATTTATCTGATCATTTCAACTTTTAAATTGTGATCAGATAAATATTGTGTACTGGGTGCAGCTCTGACTGTCACCCCCTGACCCAGAAATGGATTAAGGGGCAAAAAATAGATGGACGGATGGATGGAATTTAACTTTTAAGTGAATATAAAATATTCAAAGATAAAAATGAAAAGTGAAAGAATCATTTTGAAGCTGAAAATCAGTCAAAAACACTCGAAAGGTTTCCCTCATTTAGTGATCTTTTTGAGTCACTCATCTACTTTTACCATCAAGCTGCATCTCAACCATTTTGTAAATACCTATTATTATAAAACTAGGGGTTAAAAAAAAGAACATTATTAGTGCTCTACATCTTAGAAAATATTAATATATGTATTCAAGGGTTAAAGCATTGTTATAGAAATATTTTAGTAAAGCAACCTGAATTAACACCAAATAGTTATGAGTGTAAGTTATTAACTAACAGTGAACTCTGGATTCAGATACAGGCCATAATGCTCTGTTGGCTCAGGTCAGTGATAGATGGAGACGTGCTGCATCATGCCTTTGACCTGGGTCATAGAACAATATGTTCAGTTCAAAAGCAGATTGTTACATATATCAGAGTTGTATCAGCGTTAGGAGGCGTAAAGAGAAGCCTTGAGCAACACATATCAATGTTGACTTCATTTATGTAATATCTAGAGTAGATATGTGTTTGTTTACTCTGGTCTATTTAATGTACAGTCATTTCCTCAATCGTGGCAGTCGATTTCGGACGGCTGCAGGTGGTATTGGTATCGGTTCTGTTATTCATTGTAATTGTGCACATTTACTAATGAATAAACTCACACTTTGTTTGGAATTACAGCTCTGAGTTGTTTTCATTATTTTACTCTTGTTATGTGCAGAATTTCCACAACAGCATAATTACATTCACAGTACGAAACACAGAGTACTCATAACTCATGGATGCTTATTGTGGCAGCTGTTGACACTGGTCCTGAAACAGACGGATGGGCGTGGCCAGTCGCCGCGTCAACACTTCCTCTAGAGACCCCAAGGACATGCGCCTCACATCGTAGCCCCACTTTGAATGCTTTGACTGGGCCTTTATGGGCAAAATATCCTGGTCACTGTAGCGGTCATTCCTCCCCACTGCTGCATATGAAGGAAAATGGGTGCGGTTTGAGAGAGTGGTATTGTAAAATGGACAACAATAGGCTGACCACATGTATTCTGGGATTAAAACTCGATTATTAACCCAGCGATTCGAATCCTTATAAGGCATCCCTCCGGTGATGACGTACATGGGTCCAATGCAAGCCCTCTTGAATCGCCTCAACACTTCCTGCTCCAGCTGACTCCAGGGCCCCGAGTTGGAGCCGGCCCGCTGAGGGACAATGTTGGTCAAAGTGAAGGTGGCCATTCGGTTGTCTTTGCTCTCCTGGTGCTTGCTGGGATTTAGATGCCCTTTGGTGTAATTGGAGTCTTTGTAGTCCGGTAGCACAGCCTGGCTCTCGATGATGTTGTTGTCCAGGGTTGAATTGGGGAAAGGTTTCATCTCAGGGTCAGAACGGGAAAATGCCAACTTGAAAAAGAGAAAAAAAATTAGAGAAGTAAAGACAACAAAGAAACAAGAAAGAAAAACATATTTCAGTATTTAAGTATAGTTGTATCAAGAATGTCGGAGCGGGAGAGATTGTTTATTGCTATTGTCATTGAAGAAAAACTAAGAATTTTCTTGGTGCAATAGCAAAATGTAACTGTAATGGGGAAAGCATTAAAGCTGGGGTATCTAACTTTCAAACCACAAACACTTGTATTATCCACGTAAACAATTCCTGGTTCTGAAACAGTTCTATCCCTTTTGTCCTCTGCAACAGCCTTAGATCAGCTTTTACCGACAGAAAACTGAATGGAAAAGAGAGGAACAAACAACACGTATTATTCATGAGGGGGAAAAGTTAGGGACACCAGCTTTACTTGACTATTTTGCGGCTAATAACTGGCTAAATACATAGAAAAGCTTTTGGATTTTTTTCTAAATCATCTTGCGCCCCTCCGCTTAAGTCTCTCACCCGCCTCTGTGAAGTTCTCTCAGGCTTTATAGCATTGCTGCAACAAAACAATGAAAGCCGCTTGAGATTTTTTTAACAGATTTTTATCAAATACAAAATCATAATACTGTGGAAATCGTCATATTTCCACTCTCAAGCTGTTTAAAAGCTTTGTCACATTCTGCCCTACTTCTTTATTTTGTCTGAGTAACCCTAGTGTCATTTTAGAGAGTGTAGAGAGGTATTTCTCAATCAATACTTTTGTAACATTATTCAAACTAACCTACACTGTATAAAAGACCTATTTGAAATACACTGAAAATAGATAAATATATAGTATAAGAATGAATATATTATTTAATGATTGAGGAGTTTTGCTTCTTGTTTTGTGTGAACAGGATTGGATTAATATAAATTTTTTGCTTCATAAATTACCTTTTCAAACCATTTACAGTTTTTTCTCTCTATTATTTTAGCATTTTTTCTTTGAATAATTGTTTGTGTATGTTTAATGTATTTAAAACAAGAAAAATAGTTATTTTATTTATTGTGAATTGAGTACACTGACTGTTTCAAAACATTGCCAATGGAACAAGCCTTGGTCTTATTTCAAGTTTTTTATTTTTACTTCTCATTCCAAGGTGATATTTTCCTTATTCTTTCAAAAACAAGATATTTTTTCTTGTCCCAAAAGTGCAGTCAAAATGTACTGAAATGAGGCTAAAACATGCCTCATTCCCGACATATTTGTCCTTCCATAGACATTGTCAAAAAAAATAATGTCGAAAATTTGTCTCACACAGACAGGATCTTTACGCACCAGAGCAACCTGGAAGTTTATTCAGTTTCCTTCAGTTTCTTTCAGTTTGTGTTCAGACAGAACAGAGTTAGAACAAGCAGCTCTCTATTCACCATAATAATATTTCGGTTGTTTGTCTTTTTTAAAAGCGTGACTCACCTGGGGTTCATACATCCATGTGGAATTTGGTCGTTTTCCGTCCGCACGTCTGAGGATGTAGGCGGAGTACACTGGGGCCCGCTGCTGTCTGTGATACAAAGTGGCAAAATGGTACTGGTTCCTGAAGCGCTGACAGATCGGCTCCAGTCCTGCTCCGACAAAACCTTGTGGTGGAGTCCCACTGTAAAAGAAATTAAGACAATTGGAACAGTCATGGCTCAGTTCTGCTTGCACAAAAATGACAGAGCAGTGCCAAGGAGCAAGCATCCAACAAGTGAAGCAGACTATTGCAACAAAAGACATTATAGAGAGTGTTGCATCAAGGGCTGAACAAGTCACAAGTGCCTTAACTGGGGCACGTTTCCTGTCAGTCTGAGCTCTGGGGGTAAACAGCGTGCTGAACTGCATTGGTCAGCTGTCTCATTTCCTTTTCTGGTCAGCAGCCCTTTCCCTATTTGAAGCCCTTTATATTACATACATTATATGTTCATGATACATACTTTGTGTATATAATACATGCTTTATATATTTAATGCATCCCAGGTGCAGTTATTGACTTCTCTATGGCTCCATAGACTAGGATCAGACAAGCATTGATGAAATCTTGCCTTTATTATGCTCTTGTCATGCATGTTCTTTCAATATTAATACTTCCTCAGACCTCTTTGTTTTGACAGTACTCTAAAACAGTCAGTCAGTCCCTGCTCAACTTCTCTGTTTATGTTTGTAAAGGTTAGGCAGCAGTATAGGCTGTGTCAGCAACTCTGCCCTTTATTTTATTTTTTTAGAAAACATAATATTATTGATAATGAGTACAAAATAATTAATATAAAGATAATGAAAATAAGTAGATCAATTGAAATATATCACATTTTCTGCCACAGTATTATCACATTGTCAGGACAACAATGACATAGTTCATCCATCCATCCATTTTCTTCCCCTTAATCCGAGGGCGGCACGGTGGCTGAGTGGATAGCACTCTCGCCTCTCAGCAAGAAGGTCCTGGGCCTTTCTGAGTGGAGTTTTCATGTTCTCCCCGTGTCTGCGTAGGTTTCCTCCGGGTACTCCGGTTTCCCCTACCACTAAAAATATGTCCAATAGTTCTGGCATGCGCTTCCTGTACTGGCAACCCCGCTCCCATCTCTGTGTGGAGTGAGAGACAAATGCCCAAAATTAACAATTGTAAACCGCTTTGAGACTCAGATCTGCAGTGAAAAGGCGGTATATAAATAAAGATTACTACTTACTACTACTATCCATTTCTGCGTTGGGGGGGGGGGGGTGGCAGTCAAAGCTGCACCCAGTACACATAGCACCAGCCCCTGGTGAGTCCACAGGAGCTAAGAACTTTCAGTGGGCGCTCCAGGCAAAGTGGGGTTAAGTGTCTTGTCCAAGGACACAACGACAGCAGTCATCAGTGGGAGTGGTGAAGTAGGTCTCATGTTTGGCTCGAACCCACGACCTTCTGGCTCAAAGGCCAATGCTCTACCAACTGAACCACTGTCGCTCAGCACTGAGCTACATTATTAATGCATTAGTTTATTTGAATAGGGACAGTACACATTAATCAACATTACTGTAATTCAATCTGAAGAGACCAAAGACACAATTAATACAATAAAATATTTATTTGTTTGGCGCATTGATCCCGGCAGTGACACAATGGGATCGATTGCAGCTGAAGATTATCTCAGATCCCCCGGGGTCAAGCACTGGTGGTGGCTAGAGTATGGTGTGAATGGGGTGTAGCCAGAGCAGGAGCCAGAGCAGGAGCCAGAGCAGGAGCCAGAGCAGGAGCCAGAGCAGGAGCCAGAGCAGGAGCCCAGAGCCAGAGCCAGAGCAGGAGCCAGAGCAGGAGCCAGAGGGGGTGCTGGGGAGGTGGTGGGTGTTTAAGAGCCTCAGGAAGCGCTGCTTGTCAGGAAGTGGCTGCATTTTAAACTGGTCAGCACTAGATCATATACGGAATCGGGACGGAAGCGGAAGTAAATATAACAAGCTACCTATTCATGCCTAAACTTAACCAGACATTCCCATAAAATAACCCCAACCCACCCTTAACCCTAACCTTAACCATCTTACTCAGACGCCTAAAACTTAACCAGTCACCACTTACGGACTTTTTAGTCAAAAACTAATTTTGACCATTTTAAACTGCCCGCTTTGGTGTGAGAGGGTTGGCAGGAGGCTGGCCGGGCTGTGTGATTGGCTGAAGCTCGGGGCTGGCAGAGCTGTGTGATTGGCAGGCTTGGAAGGGGGAATTTGCACTCGGTCTTTCAGTCTGAATATCCGCTTCAGCTTCATATGTGTCAGTATTAGATACAGCTAGTTTCCAACTGAAGTCCCTTTGCAAGGTGTAAAATGGCACTGAAAAAAACTGCAAACATTACAATTGAAATAAGCTATTATTAGTTAAATTATAATACAGGGCGACAGTAGCTCAGTTGGTAGAGCATTGGCCTTTGAGCCTGAAGGTCGTGGGTTTGAGCCCACCTCAAGACCTACTTCACAACTCCCACTGATGACTGCTGTCGTTGTGTCCTTGGGCAAGACACTTAACCCCACTTTGCCTGAAGCCCCCACTGAAAGATCTCAGCTCCTATGGACTCACCACCTGCAGGAGGATCAGTGAGGGGCTGGTGCTCTGTGGACTGGGTGCAGCTCTGGCCACCCCCCCGACCCAGAAATGGATTAAGGGGAAGAAAATGGATGGATGGATGGATAGTTAAATTATTACAATTTCTAAAAACAAGTCATGAAAACATAAAAAACAACATACAATAGGCCCAATAATAACAACGGTCACCATTGTTATGCTGTGGGACAGCGGCATGGGTTTTGTCTCCATAAAGTCACACAGTTGCTCTTATAGACGAGGCTACACAAACATGATGTCAATTCAGTATGGGCCCTGTTATTCCAGTCCCCCAGCTAAGACCGCGGTAAAGTGGCCCGCATCTTTCAGCTCTATGAACAAGCGGCCCGCATCGGGGAAAATACGGTGCGCGTTTCTTTGAGAACTTACGGTAACAGCGGAACGTCCTTTCGGAGTCACCCATTTTTATCAAACAGAAAGCGCGCTGGGGTCTGGGAGACACGTTTTTGTGATTAAAACATTATATAGATGCCAGCCCGGTACACATAGCACCAGCCCCCTACGATTCCTCCTGCAGATTGTGAGTCCTCAGGAGGATAACCACTCTATTGTTTACATATATAAAGTACACAATTTGGTCCGCTAGTGCAATTTTCAAGTATTGTAACTATTTACTGGAATAAGGTGTGCGACTAATTTCACTTGACTCATATCCTTATTATTGCCCTCTACCACTGTACCAAAGACAAGAAACTTTTACTGTAGACATTTGGAGAAATATGGAGTTAAAGTAGCCATTTTGGTCCAAAATAGCCTAAAAATGGTCAAAACATGTCACTTTTGATCTACTGTAACTTTTTACTGTAAAAAGGTGTGCGACTAATTTCACTGGATTCATGACCTCATGATTGCCCTCCAGCACTGTACCAAAGGCAAGAAACTTTTACTGTAGAAATATTGAGAAATATTGATTTAAACTAGCCCTTTTGGTCCAAAATAGCCTAGAAATGGTCAAAACATGTCACTTTTGATCTACTGTAACTTTTTACTGTAAAAAGGTGTGCGACTAATTTCACTGGATTCATGACCTCATGATTGCCCTCCACCACTGTACCAAAGACAAGAAACTTTTACTGTAGAAATATTGAGAAATATTGATTTAAACTAGCCATTTTGGTCCAAAATAAACAAAAAATGGTCAAAACATGTCACTTTTGATCTACTGTAACTTATTACTGTAAAAAGGTGTGCGACTAATTTCACTGGATTCATGACCTCATGATTGCCCAATTATTTATATAGCGCATTTATATATATATAAAAAAAATTATATAGCGGAAAAAAAAGCATCTGCGCATGCGTCAGCCGGCGCAAGCTCCATTCATTTGAACGAGAGACTTAAAAAATTCACAGCGAGTAAACTAGAGTGGTCCAAAAAAATTCACCCCCCTCAGCATTGACACACATGTGGAACGGAGCTTTGGGCCAAGAGCCAACTTTTGGACCATCCTTTTCGAGAGGTCTGCCAATGCTATACGTTAGCATTGGCTAATTCTTATTCGGGGTCTTGTTCACGAGTGACGGAAGGATGGAGCGTGAGATTGACAGGTGGATTTGTGCAGCGTGCGCAGTGATGCGGCCACTTTCGATTTACCGGTCAATTCTTGTTCCCTCCATCACCTCTGGTCATGAGCTTTGGATAATGACCGAAAGAACGAGATTGTAGATACAAGCGGTGGGAAAGAGTGGTTGGGCACTCCTTTTAGGTGTTTTCACCCCGGACTCAACTTAGACTTGAAAAGCGTCAGTTTTACACTGAAAATTAATAGTGAAGCGCGTCAGGTGACGCTGAGAGGCCCGGCGTCACTTGAAGCGCTTCAAAAGACGCGAGCATTATGCGCGTCACTTGAAGCTTTTGACACGCGTAATGCTTGCGTCTCTTTTGTCGTAAAAAAGTCCCTTAACGCCGAAGTTGAGAAAAGCTTTTGGAGCTTGACGCCGGGCTTAAAACCAATCTGGAGACGAGGAGCAGCAGCAGCAGCAGCAGCAGGGCTGTCATGTAGCTGCTACTGCTTTTTCATTGTCATTATTGTTATTTGTAATATTATTTGTATGAATGGTAACGTTAAAGTTAAAGTAATTTATTTAGTATAAGAACAAGCTAAAGCTGGCTCAGACACAGCCGACTGAAAGACAGGCGCTCCTCCGCGGGAATCAGTGCGAGCTCCAGGCGGGAGCGAGAGAAGCTCCTCCCATCCGGCGTCAGGAGCTTCAAGCACCAAGGGGCGTTCACACCGGACCCAGCGTCAAATATTGCGCGTCAAAAGCGTTTTGAAGCTATTGGTCTGAAAGCACCTTTAGAGATAGGTTGAGGAGCTCAGTCACACGGAAGGAGCTCGGAGCAGAGCCTCCGCTTGTCGACAAAAGGGGCCGTAGCCCCTTTTGTGTATTTTTTACCAAGGGGGGTACTTTGACTAATTATTTCTCAAAATTTCCACAATAAAAGTTACAGTAGACCAAAAGTGACATGTTTTGACCATTTTTAGGCTATTTTGGACCAAAATGGCTACTTTAAATCAATATTTCTCAATATTTCTACAGTAAAAGTTTCTGGTCTTTGGTACAGTGGTAGAGGGCAATCATGAGGTCATGAATCCAGTGAAATTAGTCGCACACCTTTTTACAGTAAAAAGTTACAGTAGATCAAAAATGACATGTTTTGACCAGTTTTTGGCTACTTTGAACCAAAATGGCTACTTTAACTCCATATTTCTCCAAATGTCCACAGTAAAAGTTTCTGGTCTTTGGCATAGTGGTAGAACATAATAATGAGGACATAAATCCATTGGAAAGAGTCACACACCTTTTTACAGTAAATAGTTACAGTAGATCAAAAGCGGGAATGTTTTTACAGTTTTGTGTATTTTGCACTAAAGTGTACTTTTTTTAAAGTGTACAATTTTACCCAACATTTCCACAGTAAAGGTGTGTGGTCGTAGGCACAGCGTTGAAGGCAGCTATATCGAGGTCATGAACCCAGTGGAATAAGCCACACAAGTCTTTACTGTAAAAATGGACAGCTGCTGAAAATTTCACTTTTTGACCAAATTAAATGCTTTCCAAATATGGGTTTATTCACAAAAACGAGTCTCCTCAGCGCGCTTTCTGTTCGAGGAGAAAAGGTGACTCCGAAAGGCTGTTCCGCTATTACCGTAAGTAGTCAACAAAACGCGCACTGTTTTTCTTTCGTTGCGGGCCGTTTTACTTCGGAGGTGAAAGATGCGGCCCACTTTACCGCGGTCAGCTAAGCATTGTGCTGTATAGTATGAGTCGGTCATACCACAAGTGCATTAAACCAGTTTGTCCTTGGGCTGTGACGGCTGCCTGCTGCTACACGCCTCTAGCCTCTTTCTCATACGCGCCGACCACGCCTCTCGCAGTCTGCTCAAACTTTCTGAGTCAAACTCGAAGCACTTTGGTTTTATCGGGACTATGTTCGCAGCTGAGAATGGCGGAGGCCAACGCTCTTGAGGAGCTCCAGTCCGAGCTCACCTGCCCCGTGTGCCTGGAGCTGTTCCGGGACCCTGTCATCCTCGAGTGCGGTCACCACTTCTGCCAGAAGTGCATCATCCAGTGCTGGGAGGTCAAGAGCGAAGAGCTGACCAACTGCCCCAAGTGCAGAAAGGCCTGTGCGCGCAAGCTGCGCCCCAACTCCCTGCTGTGTAACGTGGTGGACAGCGTGCGCCGTGCGCGCGTCATGGACGTCTCTGACTGTCCCGCGGCCTGGGACCCCGAACACCAGCACGACATCTGCGAGGAGCGTGAGCCCGGCTCCAGCATGAGCAGTGTGACCTCGTCCATCTCACACTGGCCCCGGATGTGCGAGGACATGTGCGAGGAGCACGAAGAGAAGCTGAAGCTGTACTGTGAAGATGACCAGCTGCCCATCTGCCTGGTATGCGGCATGTCCCGGGACCACAAGACCCACAACGTCATCCCCATCAACGAAGCCTTTGAAAACTACAGGGTATTGCCTTTCAGACGCTTTCTAACTTGTAGAAAGAATGCATTAACGTAATGCCACAAGAGCATTAGATACCAGTGGTTATGTCCTTCTCCCAGCACAGAGCTAAAACATTCAAGGCCTAAATGTTCAGAATAATGTGCACTGACTTGTCATATGTCTCAATGTTTTCGAACTCTGGCAGCGCTTCCACTTTTTATTCAAGCAAGTCTTTGGCTGTTGCCTGTTGCCTCCTGTCCCAGGACCTGCATGTTGTGCTGGGGGACTCTGTTTAATGTCCACAGGAATGCAGCTCTTAACCTCCTGAGACCCTGCGACCTCATACGAGGACATTACATTTTTGCCTCTTGGCACAATGATACTCAATTTTTTACATCCTTGACCTGATGGCCACATTTAGGGACACTGCCCGCGCCATCTTGTGGTGATATGATAGAATTACACTTAAGGCAGTAGGAAAAAAATGGTGGCAATATCAGCAAAAGACTTCTACAAGAGTTTACAGAAGAAAAATGCCCCAGGTAAAAATTCTATCAACATTTTATGAATGAAATACATTTTTTTATGCACAATAATGTCTCTAGCTTCATATGGAGTTTGAAATTTGACAAATTTTGATTGTAGTAGCAGGCTAGGATGTCAGTAAAAGTGAAGCACTCGTTTGAGGACGCTAGGACTATGTACCGCTATCTGTTTAGCTAACAGTGTGGAAGATTTAGATGAAGTTACAGTTGTAAATAGTTATTTTGAATCACACATTTGCTTAGTTATGTGGTTTACAGTTGTAAATAGTATATTTAAGTACTAAGTGGTATATGCTAAGTATTGTTTAGTGTTGCTAAATTCTAAATCATAAACAATATAGCTAGGCTATAGCTAGCACATGATAGCCAAGCTATGAAGTGTCACTGATATACTGTAGATTTTGATGTTGGTTTTTAACATTATCATTACAGGCACACTTTCATTGTCAAGAGCAGAACAATTGCTGTTGGCAATTGCAGACAACTCTGAGATAGAGGACTTCTCAGATGGGGATGATTGTATCATCATCTCATACCTGTCAGTCATCTTCTGGTGTTTCCCACGGGGAGAGGCGGCGAGCTGGGGTGGCCATACTCATTGCCCCCCATCTCAGCCGCCACGTGTTGGAGTTCTCCCCGGTGAATGAGAGGGTCGCGTCCCTCCGCCTCCGGGTGGGACAAGTCTCTCATTGTTGTGACGGCCTACGGGCCTAACGGCAGTGCCGAGTTCCTGCCTTCTTGGAGTCCTTGGGAGGGGTACTGGACAGTGCACCGCCCGGGGACTCCGTTATTCTCCTGGGGGACTTCAACGCCCATGTGGGAAATGCCAGGGACACTTGAAGAGGGGTGATCGGGAAGAACGGCCCCCCTGATCTGAACCCGAGCGGTGTTCAGTTGTTGGACTTCTGTGCCAGTCACGGTCTGTCCATCACGAACACCATGTTCGAGCACAAGGGTGTCCACCAGGACACCCTAGGCCGGAGGTTGATGGTCGACTTTGTTGTCGTATCATCTGACCTTCGACCGCGTGTCTCGGACACTCGGGTAAAGAGAGGGGAGGAGCTGTCAACCGATCATCACCTGGTCGTGAGTTGGATCCGCTGGCAGGGGAAGAAGCCGGTCAGACCTGGCAGACCCAAGCGTATAGTGAGGGTCTGCTGGGAACGTCTCGCTGAGCCCCCTGTCAGACGGACTTTCAACTCACACTTCCGGGAGAGCTTCTCCCAGGACCCAGAGGAGGGGGACATTGAGTCCGAGTGGACCATGTTCTCTTCCTCTATCACCAATAAAGCGGCTCGTAGCTGTGGTCGCAAGGTCTCTGGTGCTGGTCCCGGCGGCAACCCCCGAACCCGGTGGTGGACACCGGCAGTAAGGGATGCCGTCAGGCTGAAGGAGTCCTATCGAGCAATGATGGTTCGTGGGACTCCTGAGGCAGCTGTCCAGTACCGGCAGGCCAAGCGTGCCGCGGCCCGGGCTGTTGCAGAGGCAAAAACCCGGGACTGGGAGGAGTTCGGAGAGTCCATGGAGCATGACTATCGGTCGCCCTCAAAAAGGTTATGGCAAACCCTCCGGCGCCTCAGGAGGGGGAAGCAGTGCTTTGCCAACACCGTGTATGGTGCGGGTGGAGAGCTGCTGACCTCGACTGGGGATATTGTAATCCTAACCCTAACCCGGAGATGGTAGCCTTGAAAAACCCCATGCATTGCAGAGCACAAGACTGCATTGGAAAAGCCTGTCTCCGATGCATGACATGCAATGTGTACCTGTGCTTGCAAAGTGAATGCAACTGCTTTGCAGCATTTCGCACTTGCCAATAGGGCTCTTCCAAACAGGCAGACAGATTGCTTTCTAGAAAAAGAGAGGGAGCTAGTTTGAAAAAAGCCCCGGTTCATAAGCTGTTCAGCAGAATTTTACTGTTTTAGGACTGTTAATAATATTTGCCATTATTTGTTCTAGTATTGTATTTATCAATTCAATTCAGCCATATTGAAGGCTTGAAATAGACAGTTTACACAGTATTTTGCGGTTTTATTTATGTATAGCCAATTTTTTGTCATGTGGATGAATGAAGAAAAAGGGAACCCAAATTGCAGGACTGAAAATCAAAGTAATTTAATAAAATAAATCCAAGGTAATGTAAAAACAGAACTGAAGACAGGACAAACATTGTGGAGACAATGGACGGACAACAAGTGAGGAAGGGCACATGGTATATATACACACACAGGGACACACAGGTGAATCACATTAACAACAATCAACAGGACAGGCAGGATTCAAACTCAACCCGGTCAAAATGTCCACACCATGACATTTTTAGGCTTTGAAGATAGAGCTGTTTGGATTTTATGTCTAACTTTGATGTTTACATTTTTCAAATAAACTGTTATATACTATTTTAGACCAATGGAGTCTATTTGTATTGTATAGTAAGGTCGACCCACTGTCCTCATGTGAGGACATTGATTTTTGAGAGAAGTACTAATTGGATCAAGCTGAAATTTTGAATTTCAACTAATCAGGACCTTCCGGCCTAAAAGATCATACATTTTCTCTTTAGGTTATGAGAGACCCACTGTCCTCATACGAGGACATGTTTTTTCTCAAAAACTACTTCCTGTACAAAATCACAATTTAGGTATTATACTTATTGGGTCCTACTTATCCTAAATAGCAAAAAAATATATAAAATGCACACCAGACAAATGCTCGGGTCTCAGGAGGTTAAAGTTATGTCCCTTATAGACAAAGCAGCGTGTTTAAACAAAACACAAAAAACTCTCTCTGGTGAATAATAGATGTTGTTTTCTTACCTTTTCAGAGCAGATCTCGTCTGAATCTCCTGCAGATGAATACACTGGAGCGAGAGTCTTTCATAAATCATGCAGCTTCTTCCCCGCGTCATGACGGACACACGGAGCAACACACGACGTAGAATTTCTCTTTTTATTTTTTAGAGTGAAGCTATAAATAACACAATGACAAAGGATTCCATGTAGTAATGAGGTTGTATACTGCGAAAAGCCAGTCAATTAAAATAATGAATGTGTGTGTGTGTTTGCCCGTGTGTGTGTATGAAGCTCTCTACGTGGTTGGTTTAAAGCTGGGGGACGTAACTTTCAAACCGGAGCACTTCTCCTTTAAGTGGCCGAAGCAAATTCCCAGTAAAAGGCTGGAGGCTGTAAATAAGAACAAACTATAGATTCTATGGCAGAACTTGAGCTCTGGGCCAGAAATAGAGGGATAGTTTAATAAATCGCAGGAATTCTTGGTGAGTCAATAATTTAGATTATAACGCAAAGACCAGAGAAAGACCCGAGGGACAAGAGTGACCATAAAGACCCAAGAGACAAGAGAAAGACCAGAGAGAGACCTGAGAGAAGAGAAAGACCAGAGATTCGACAGACCAGAGGGAGAATAGAGAGTGACAAGAGAGAAGAGAGATTTGAGAGACAAGAGACCAGAGATGGAAGAAAGGCTCTATGTGGTTTTTTTTTTCATTGCATTTCTTGAGTTTGAACCATTTGATTCTCTGATCTGTGATGAGAAATCAGCTGTTTTGTAAAGTCCTCTGTTGACATTATGACAGGCTGTACAAGAATAAACTGAATTGAATTGATTTGAATTGAAGAGGGTAGAGAGAGGCCAGAGACGAGAGAGAGAAAACAGAGAGAGGCCGGAGAGAGAGACCAGAAAGAAACCTGAGACAAACCAGAGGCAGATCAGAGAGAGACAACAAAGAGATCAGAGACCAGAAAGAGAGAAGACACATGTTCTAATCAAATATAGATAGGCAGATTCTTTATTGATCCCCGTCGGAGAAATTCAGTTGTCCAGTAGCAGCAAAAATTAAAAAAATAAAATGTATAATTCTCCAAAGCTAACAATAGTAATAATCAGCAACAGCCCTTTAGGTCACAGCAGCAGAGATGTACCACAGTCTTTGATATAAAACCATTTAGTTTCATAGCCTCACTAGCTCGTTTACCAATCAATGGCACTGTGCATTCTGTGTTTACAACTTGAAACTCTAACTGGTACAGTTTTTTGTTTCTGGGATTTCTCAGTTTCACTTTACATTTACCCAGTGGCTTCACCTTGCTACCATTATACATCATTAACATAGTGTTCGTAACATCCAGTTTTGTATCACTGTTCAACAGGTTAACAGGTAACACATTACATGTGGCTCCACAATCAATCTGAAATCTTACAATATCTTTGCCTAAGAGCATACCTGCAAACAGTTTAGTGTCTTTTTCTTTGTCAGAGTCTGTGTATTCTCATTTTCACCCGGTGTCACTTCTCTAACACACAGAATGTCCTCATACTCACTTTCACATTCTGTCACATTGTGCACAGATTTGTTCTTCTTAAAGTCTGTGCGTGCTTTACACATTGCTGCGAAGTGGTTATCTTTACCACACTTTTTACACTTCTTGCCAAATGCTGGACATTTCTGTTTATTCCTCTCGTGCGTCCTGCCGCAGAACTTGCACTCCACCGTGTTGTCGTTGTCCGGCTTCCACT